ATTATTATTATTATTATTATTATTATTATTATTATTATTATTATTATTATTGCCCAGGATTGCTTAAGGTTAGGCCACCAAGTAAGCGAATTGACCCATAAGCACGTCCTGGATCTAGCTGTCTGGGAAGCACGTTGTATCCATTCAGCTGTCAGGCAGGAGATGACTTATGAGCTCTCATGACATGTTTAAACATGTACCTGATCAGAAGAATCTGACATCAGATTAATCACTAACATGGAAAATAGGCTATTATGAATCGACTACTCTGAGCTGTGCCCACGTGTCAAACACATGTACAACATTATTGTACATGGGACAGAGGTAGCCATATGCACTAATAGTGTGGAGATAATCTGTTTCTAGTTACACTTTCCATAGAAATGTCTGTGCATATAACCAAATCTGCAACAGGAAACTTGTAATCAGTGGTTGTTGTAGCCAGGAGGTACATCAATCGGCACAGCATTGTTACTGAGCATAGTTCCTTTTCTTAACACCCCCCCCCCCATGTATATATACAAACAGAAAAGTCTGTATAGCTCCAGCCTGTTGCTTGAACAACTTAAGCCAGGTATGGCCAAACTTCCGGCCTCCAGGTGTTGTGCAGAGCAGGCTTGGGTAAACTGCAGCCCTCCAGGTGTTTTGGACTACAATTCCCACAATTCCTAACAAGCTACCGGCTGTTAGGAATTGTGGGAGTTGTAGTCCAAAACACCTGGAGGCCCAAAGTTTGCCCATGCCTGCCTTAAGGTGTTCAGATATTTCTGCTTGTATATATACTATAGAACAGGAGTCCTCAACCTACAGCACTCCAACTGTTTAGGCACCCAACTCTCAGAATTCCCGACATGGAACAAGCTGGCTAGGGCTTCTGGGAGTTGGAGATCCAAAAAGCTGAAGGGCCGTAGGTTCAAGATGCCTGTTCTACAGTATAGACACACCGTTTTAATGGCAGCTTTACACACAGTTATTGCACTGATGTAAAAAATCCCAGCTGTATTTGTGTGGCAGTTTTCAACCCTTTGGCTGGATTTTCTGTTAATCCTAGCTGAATCTTGGCAAATTCAATAGTGTGCCTTTTCAAACACATAATCCCCCAATAGGCACATGATCAGAAAAATCTCCAAATGGCTTTTTCTGATGTATTTCTTTCTTTATTCTGTTCATAAATTGTATCTGCAAGGGAGCTAGAATAGAATCAGTTGGGAGCCTGGATGTTCCTCCAAAAACCTCTGTTACCTTGGACGTATGCATAAAAAGGCAGACTGAGTGGATTCTCTTCTTTCCCAGCAAGAGGCAGAGAGAGAGAGAGAGAAGGAGAGAGAGAGAGACTGTGCTGTAGTTTGACATGACTTTAACTACCATGGCTCAATGCTATGGAATCATATGGTTTTCAAGGTCTTTAGACTTTTCTGCCAAATAGGGATGGTGCCTCACCAAACCACAACTGCATTAGAACTCAGATGGGAGTCAGCCAACGAATGCCAGGTGCTGTGGGCTATATTTCAGAGGATATATTTCAAATCCATGGCTATTGAATACTTTAACTGCTGTGGCTCAAAATTATGCAATGCTGGGCTATGTAGTTCGGAGAGGCACCAACACTGGGTTGCTGGGGACGCTGAAAGAACCTCCTCGATGACTGAGTAAACATAGTCGGCTTCCCTTGGGCAATATTTCTTGTAAACGGCTAATCTTTCCAACCAAATAGCACTGCATTACAAATTATGCAATGCTTTTGACATGAAATAAATAAACTGGGTTGCTGTAAGTTTTCTGGGCTGTATGGCCATATTCCAGAAGCATTCTCTCCTGACGTTTTGCCCACATCTATGACAGGCACCCTCAGAGGTTGTGAGGTCAGTTGGAAACTAGGACAAGTGAGGTTCATATACAGTGAGGGGGAAAGTATTTAGTCAGATACCAATTGTACAAGTTCTCCCACTTAAAAAGATGAAAGATGCCTGTAATTGACATCATAGGTAGACCTCAACTGAGACGATAGGAGAAAACACATCCAGAAAATCACATTGTCTGATTTTTAACTAATTTATTTGCAAATTATGGTGGAAAATAAGTATTTGGTCCATAGCAAAATATTTAGTCCATAGCAAAAGTTCATCTCAATACTTTGTTATATATCCTTTATCGGCAATGACAGAGGTCAAACGTTTTCTGTAAGTCCTCACGAGATTGGCACACACTGTTGCTGGTATATTGGCCCATTCCTCTGTACAGATCTCCTCAAGAGCAGTGATGATTTGGGGCTATTGCTAGGCAACACGGACTTTCAACTCCCTCCAAAGGTTTTCTTCAGTTGGCCCTAGACATGTAGTGGCATAAGCAGGGGACACGCCTGGCACTACAGGATCTGAGTCCCTGGTGGCGTAGTGTGTTACTGATGGTAGCCTTTGTTACATTTTTCCCAACTCTCTGCAGGTCATTCACTAGGTTCCCCTGTGTGGTTCTGGGATTTTTGCTCACCATTCTTGTGATCATTTTGGCCCCACGGGGTGAGATCTTGCGTGGAGCCCCAGATCGAGGGAGATTATCAGTGGACTTGTATCTCTTCCATTTTCTAAGTATTGCTCCCACAGTTGATTTCTTCACACCAAGCTGCTTGCCTATTGCAGATTCAGTCTTCCCAGTCTGGTGCAGAGCAACAATTTTGTTTCTGGTGTTGAAGCTCTTTGGCCTTCACCATACTGGAATTTGGAGTGTGACAGCTTGAGGTTGTGGACAGGTGTCTTTTATACTGATAAGAAGTTCAAATAGGTGCCATTACTACAGATAATGAGTGGAGGACAGAGGAGCCTCTTCAAGAAGTTACAGGTCTGTAAGACCCAGAAATCTTGCTTGTTTGTAGATGACCAAATACTTATTTTCCACCATAATTTGCAAATAAATTAGTTAAAAACAGATAATGTGATTTTCTGGATGTGTTTTCTCATGTTGTCTCTCATAGTTGAGTCTACCTATGGTATCAATTACAGGTCTCTCTCATCTTTTTAAGTAGGAGAATTTTTACAATTGGTATTTGACTAAATACTTTCCCCCCACGCTGTATATGTGGAATGTGTAGGGTAAGAGAAAGCAAGTCTGCTTGAAGCAAGTGTGAATGTTGCAACTGACCGCCTTGATTAGCACTGAATAGCCCTGCAGCTTCAAAGCCTGGCTGCTTCCTGCCTGGGAGAAACCTTTGTTGGGAAGTGTTAGCTGGCCCTGATTGCTTCTTGTCTGGAATTCCCATTTTCTGAGTATTGAAAGAACAACATCCAAATTGAACAAAACCTGGCTAACAGTATTTAACCCCCCCCCCCCCCAAATCATGACAATAAATAAAGGCAAACAATAAAAAACCAGAATTCCAGACAATAATCAATCAGGGCCAGAAAACACCTCCCAAAAAAAAAAGGATCCTCCCAGGAGGCAACCAGCCAAGCTTTGAAGYTAGAAGGCTATTCAGGCTTAATCAAGGTGGCCAATTGCAACATTCACATTTGCCTCAAACAGAATTTTTGTCTCCTTGAGACAAGTGGCCAAACTTACCTGGCCCAACTTACCTGTCAGAACATATCTCCCCTTATGAACCATCTAGGACCTTGAGATCGTCCGGAGAGGCTCTGCTCTCAGCCCTGCCTTCTTCACAGGTACGTTTGGCGGGGAGAAACAGGGCCTTTTCACTGGTGGCTCCCAGGCTATGGAACGCCCTCCCCAGAGAGGTTAGATCTGCTCCCTCCCTTTTAACGTTTCGGAAGCAACTCAAAACGTGGCTGTTTGTGCAAGCGTTCACAAACACAGAGTAATGGATACAAACAACTGACAAAGGAACGGATAACTGACGATGGAACTGGACAATGCTTGACAATAAGGAGACGCCAATGATGTTGTTTTTATTGCTGTTGTGATTTATGTAATTTTAATTGTTTTTAAATTGTATTATGATCAGGCCCGTAGCCAGGATTTCGATTCGGGAGGGGGGGGGGCTGAGTTTTTTTTGGGGGGGGGGCTGAGTCTGAGTGAAAGAGGGTCTAGCCTAGCAAACCTTTTGTATCATTACCCCAATACCCCATGCATATGGGATGTATTGAGTATGGTGATCAGATCATGATATGAATAAACATAACAGTTTAAATAATGCACCAGTAAGGCCTTTTCGCGAACCACCATGAGAATTTGGGGAGGGGGCTGAAGCCCCTCAAGCCCCCCCCCCCCGGCTACATGCCTGATTATGATACTATGTATACTAGGTTCTTGTGGGTTTTTTCGGGCTATATAGCCATGTTCTAGAGGCATTTCTCCTGACGTTTCGCCTGCATCTATGGCAAGCATCCTCAGAGGAGGACAGACCTCACTACCTCTGAGGATGCTTGCCATAGATGCAGGCGAAACATCAGGAGAAATGCCTCTAGAACATGGCTATATAGCCCGAAAAAACCCACAAGAACCTAGTGATTCCAGCCATGAAAGCCTTCGACAATACTATGTATACTGTTTTGTTGGAAACCGCCTTGAGTCGCCGATAGGCTGAGAAAGGTGGTATACAAATACAGGAAATTGGCCACCTTGATTAGCACTGAATAGCCTTGCAGCTTCAAAGCCTGGCTGCTTCCTGGCTGGGGGAATCCTTTGTTGGGGCTGTGTTATCTGGCCCCTGATTTTTTCATGTAAGAAAAAAGTCAGGCTGTTACTCTTTATTTACTGTCTCGATTTTAGAGTTTTTTTAATACTGGTAGCCAGATTTTGTTCATTTTCATGGTCTCTTCCTTTCTGTTGAAATTGTCCACAGGCTTGTGCATTTCAATGGCTTCTCTGTGTAGTCTGACATGGTGGTGGTTAGAGTGGTCCAGCATTTCTGTGTTTTCACCGACACTTTCCAGCAGAGAAAGCTCATCTTTCCAAACTGCACTTCCCTCCGCCTTCACTCCTTGCATGGCAAGCCCCGCCCCCTCGCCTAGCTGTGACGTCACGCACCCGGAAGGGGAGGGCGTGTTCTCCCGCCCCCTCCCGCGAGGACCGGAAGTGCCATTTGGACCCGACTGCCCGAGCGGAAGGCAAGAGAGAGAGAGGCCTAAGTGGCTGTTGAGCGTCGTGTGGAAGGCGGATGAGGCCTGAGAGGCCGCAGCGGGACCCGGGTGAGGCACCAAGCCGGAAGAGGGGGTCCCCGGTGGGGCGGAGTGGCTACTCTTTGAGCCGCGGATCAGGGAAGGGAGGGATTTCGACGGACTGCTGCTGAGGTCGAAAGGCCTGGCGTAGAAGGTGGGGAGGGTGGAACCAACGGCCAAAAGGGGGAGGGTTTAGTCCAGCCACATTGGCCAGGATTAAACCAAACATCCAAGGGGAGGGCCTATTGAGGGCATCCTATTCTCCTCCATTGTTATTGTTGTTATTATTATTATATAATTATATTCCACATTCTTAGAATCATAGAGTTGGAAGAGATCACAAGGACCTCCCAGTCTCAACCCCTTGCCCTGCAGGGACATACAATCAAAGTGCTCCCGACAGATGGTCAGTCAACTTTTATTAAAAACATCCCGAGGCCAAAGAAGGGGGAGGGCCTCAAGAGCCACGTTGGCCTCGACTAAACCAAACATCCAAGGGGTGGGCCTACTGAGGACATCCTATTCTCCTCCATTGTTATTGTTGTTATTATTATAGAATTATATTCCACATTCTTAGAATTATAGAGTTGGAAGAGATCACAAGTCTCAACCCCTTGCCCTGCAGGGACATACAATCAAAGCGCTCCCGACAGATGGCCAGTCAACTTCTATTACAAACCTCCCGAGGCCAAAGAAGGGGGAGGGCCTCAAAGAGCCACGTTGGCCTGGACTAAACCAAAAATCCAAGGGATGGGCCTATTGAGGACCTCCTATTCCCCTCCGTTGTTATTTTTGTTATTGTAGGGTTTTTCGGGCTATATGGCCATGTTCTAGAGGCATTCTCTCCTGACGCTTCGCCTGCATCTGTGGCAAGCATCCTCAGAGGTAGTGAGGTCTGTTGGAACTAGGAAAAAGGGTTTATATATCTGTGGAATGACCAGGGTGGGACAAAGGACTCTGAGGATGCTTCTCACAGATGCAGGCGAAACGTCAGGAGAGAATGCCTCTAGACCATGGCCATATAGCCCGAAAAACCCTACAAAATCCAGTGATTCCGGCCATGAAAGCCTTCGACAATACATCAATTATATCTCGTTTTCATAGAATCATAGAGTTGGAAGAGATCACAAAGACCACCCAGTCTCAATCCCCTGCCCTGCAGGAACATACAATCAAAGCATTCCCGACAGATGGCCAATCAACTTCTATTACAAACCTCCCGAGGCCAAAGAAGGGGGAGGGCCTCAAGAGCCACGTTGGCCTGGACTAAACCAGACATCCAAGGGGTGGGCCTACTGAGGACATCCTATTCCTCTCCGTTGTTATTGTTGTTATTATTATAGAATTATATCTCGGTTGTTGTAGGGTTTTTCGGGCTATATGGCCATGGTCTAGAGCAGTGGTTCTCAACCTTCCTAATGCCGCGACCCCTTAATATAGTTCCTTATGTTGTGGTGACCCCCAACCATAACCCTAACATTTGAATCGTCATGTAAATAATGATCTGCAGGATGTATTTTCATTCACTGGAGCAAATTTGACACAAATACCCGGTATGCCCAAATTTGAATACTGGTGGGGTTGGTGGGGGGATTGATTTTGCCATTTGGGAGTTGTAGTTGTTGGGGTTTATAGTTAACCTGTAAACAAAGAGCATCCTGAACCCCACCAACAATAGAATTGAACCAAAGTTGGCACACAGAACTCCCATGACCAATAGAAAATACTGGAAGGGTTTGGTGGGCATTGACCTTGAGTTTGGGAGTTGAAGTTCGCCTACATCCAGGGAGCACTCTAGACTCCAACAATGATGGATCTGGACCAAACTTGGCACGGATACTCCATATGCCCAAATGTGAACACTCGTGGGGTTTTGTGAAAATAGACCTCGAGAATTGGGAGTTGTACTTGCTGGGATTTATAGTTCACCTACAATCAAGGAGCTTTCTGAACCCCAACAATGATAGAATTGGGCCAAACTTTCCACACAGAGACCCCCATGACCAACAGAAAATACTGTGTTTTCTGATGGTCTTTGGCGACCCCTCTGACACCCCTTCGCGACCCCTCCAGGGGTCCCGACCCCCAGGTTGAGAAACACTGGGGGTTTCGCCTGACGTTTTGCCTGCATCTGTGGCAAGCATCCTCAGAGGTAGTGAGGTCTGTTGGAACTAGGAAAAAGGGTTTCTATATCTGTGGAATGAGCAATGTGGGATAGAGGACTCTGAGGAAAAACCCTACAACAACCCAGTGATTCCGGCCATGAAAGCCTTCGACAATACATCAATTATATCTCGCTTTCATAGAATCATAGCGTTGGAAGAGATCACAAGGACCACCCAGTCTCAATCCCCCCGCCCTGCAGGAACACACAATCAAAGCCCTCCCAACAGATGGCCAGCCAGCCTCTGCTTAAAAACCTCCTGAGGAGAAAATCACCTCTAGAGGCAGCATATTACACTATTGAACATATCTCACCGTAAGGAAGTTCATCCTAATGTTTACATGGGATCTTATTTTCTTGTAATTTGGATCCATTTCTCCAGTATGTCTTGGGGCCTTCCACACAGCCATATAATCCAGAATATAGTGGAGCAATATGTCTTGGGACCCTTTTACAGAGCCATATAACCTAGAACAGTGGTTCTCAACCTGTGTGTCCCCAGGTGTTTTGGCCTACAACTCCCAGAGATTCCAGCCAGTTTACCAGCTGTTAGGATTTATGGGAGTTGAAGGCCAAAACATCTGGGGACCCACACGTTGAGAACCACTGACCTCAAATATAGTGGAGCAGTATGTCTTGGGGCCCTTCCACACAGCCATATAACCCAGAATATCGGAGCCCCTGGTGATGCAATGGCTTAAACCCTTATGCCGGCTGGACTGCTGACCAATAGGTCAGAAGTTTGAATCTGAGGAAAGTGGGCTGAGCTCCCTCCAGCTCCCCATCTGTGGAAATGAGAGAAACCTCCCACAAGGATGGTGAAACATCAAATATCTGGGTGTCCCCTGGGCAACGTCCTTGCAGACAGCCAGTTCTCTCACACCAGAAGCGACTTGCAGTTTCTCAAGTTGCTTCTGACATCCCTCCCCCAAGAATATCAAGGCAGATAATGTGGAATTTTATACAGCTGTGTGGGAGGGGCCTGGGTCTCCAGAGCAGCAGAAAAGAAGTCTGCCCCCTTCTAGGTGGGACAACCATTCAAATATTTTAAAATGGCTCTCATGCCCCCTTCTCTCAGCCTTCCTTTCTGCAGGCTAAATACACCCAGTTTCCTCAAGTGTTTCTCCTAGACTTGGTTTCCGAACCTTTGATCATGTTGGTCACCCTTCTCAGGACACTTTCTAGTTTGTGAATATTCTTCTTCATTTATGGTGTCCAGAGTATGACTTATGGCCCCTTCCACACATCCATATAACCCAGAATATCAAGGCAGATAATCTACAATAGCTACTTTGAACTGGATTATCTGAGTCCATACTACCATATAATCTAGTTTAATGTGGATTTTATACAGCTATATGGAAGGGGCCCTCAGTATTCCAGGTGAGGCTTGACTAAAGCAGAATAGGAGTACTGTTACTGTGCAATTGGGGAAGAGCAGAGAGATAAATCTGTTGGAAGTTACTCTGTGGAGAGTCACACTGTCAATGTGCCCAGTTGATGATGCATATACATGAGTGTTTCCCAAACTCTGATTTTCCAGCATTTTAAAGTTCAGGTCCCAGAATCCCTGATATTTGACCAAAGCCACAGAGGCTTCTGGGAGTTGGTTCAAAACACCTGGAGAACCAGAGTTTGGGAATCACTAATGTACACTGTAGAATGAATGCAGTTTGACAGCACTTTAACTTCCATGGTTCAGTGCTATGGAATCCTGGGAGTTGTAATTTGGTGAGGCATGGGAATTCTTTGGGAGAGAAGAGTAACAATCTTCTATGACAGTTAAAGGGGTGTTAAACTGCATTAATTCTACAGTGTGGATAAGGCCTACACAACCCAGCCTATGGCCCTCCAGGTGTTTGGGACTCCCAGCTCTCAGAAGCCCTAGCCAGCTTTTCCAGTGATCAGGAATTCTGGGAGCTGAAGTCCAAAACATCTGGGACGCCACAGGTTGTGCAGGCCTGGTATGGATCTACATTTAGTGCTTATCTTGCTTATTGTCACTCAACATAGTGATCCTTGGACCACTATCAACCCCATAGACTTCAGATTACCTGTCCCTGGTGATTTTGCAGAAAAGAAACCACCATAGCAATTGGACACAAATCTGATGGCTGGATGGCCATCTGTCAGGGGTGCTTTGAATGCAATATTCCTGCTTCTTGGCAGGGGGTTGGACTGGATGGCCCATGAGGTCTCTTCCAACTCTATGATTCTATGATGCTGGTTCCTACACAATTTGTAGGGAACAATAACAATAATTGTCCATCTCCAATCCGATAGGCAGAAAGTGCTGGTTTTGCTGATAGGAATCAGTGCTATTGAGTTTTAGGCTGAGGTCCTTTTTCAGTACAGGATGGAGATTCCCGGGGTTGAACTTCAAGCATGTACTCTTCAAGCTAAATTACATCCTTTCTTAAAATAAATGGTCCAGATCGCAGTTAAGGTAAGACCTGTGTCATTGTTTACAAAGGGAGATTCCTGCCCACAGGTCTTCATATCTCTACTTTATCCAAAAGACTTCATGAGGAAATGAAGCATAGTGATTGAATAGTAAGCTGTGGTGGATTTTAGGAATACTCATACCTTTATTATGGAAACCCTAGGTTTCCTGATGGGATCTTGTGCGGTAAAAACCATTTGATAAACCCAGAAGCTCCATGATACTGTCCATACTTATTCTAAAAAGACGGAACAGAATTTCTTTGTCTAATACAATATCTTTAGGTATAGTCTTTTTCAATTCCTTGTAAGCAAGAAAGTGGTCTTGGAAATATGAGAAAGAAAGAACACAGGTGTAAAGGTAAAGCGTATCTTGTAAAAAAAATGGAAATCATAATTTATTATTCCCCCACCATGAAATAGTTCAGTAGATAGAGTGGATAGTTTGGATGTATGTGATAGAGATTTGATTTATTCACATCATAACTGCATGTTATTTTTTTTATATATGTATATATTTTGTTGACAGATTTTGCTCATGGATGAGTTGGTGCATGATTTGGCCTCAGCCCTTGAGCAGACATCTGAACAGAACAAGCTGGATGAGTTGTGGGAAGAAATGACTCTCAGCCCAAGGCAGCAGCGTCGACAGCTTCGCAAGAGGCGAGGACGCAAGCGACGCTCAGATCTTACACACCAAGCAGAGCATGCTTGTTGTTACAGTGGTGCCTCAGAATCTAGTCTGGATGAAGTTGTGGAGGATTGTCGGGAGGTGCTGACTGCCAACTTCAGTGACTCAGATGACATGGCAGGATCCAAACGTCATCCGGCTCTCAGTGCGACTCTCAGGAGTAAGCCACACTCATGGCATGAGTCAGACTCATTCACCGAGAACGCACCTTGCCGACCATTGAGGCGCCGTCGAAAAGTTAAGCGTGTGACATCAGAAGTGGCTGCTAGCCTTCAGCAAAAACTCAGAGTGTCAGAATGGAGTTATGAAAAGGGCTGCAGGTTCAAGTCTGCTAAGAAGCAGCGACTGTCCCGTTGGAAGGAAAATGCTCCCTGGACTTCATCTAGTCGAGGACTGTGTGAATCGGCAGACAGCAGGGCCTTCCTCAACAAAGGGGTTAGGAATGAGAGAATGGAGTGTGAAGCAGATGAACAGAAGCAAGGCTCTGATGAAAACATGTCTGAATGGTAAGATGTCCACACCTTTTCTTTTCACTTGTTTAGAAGAAATTAGTTTTGGGGTTATTGTTGGGGGTTTTTTTGGACAGAGTTAATTTTTACTTGGTATGACATTGTTTTTGGAAGATAACTCTGTATTAACTGTCAGTGATCTTTTGTGGAAAACTTGTTCTGCAAGATAAGTATAGCAAGAAACAACTAAAACAAACACGATCAGTCAGGCTTGCTTGCTGTGCATCCTCTTCATCACAGTCTTGTGTGTAATTTAAGAATGATTTTTTCCCCTGAAAGAGGCTGAGAGAGAGTGAGGGAAGAAAGTGGCCCTGTTGACTTTTGTCTCTAAATCTGCCAGTTGCCAGCACTTATCCGTGGACAGATAACTTCTAAAGAAATATAATCCAGGGAAAGACAGTCAGAATGAATCCTACAATAGGAGAACTTTTGATGGAACTAAATAGAAAGATTGCCATGTGGTTTCCACTCTGTTAAATCTCATATTTGAGATGAATTTTTAAAACAGATAGTCTTGGTTCCTGGTGTTGGAATTTGGGCCTAGGATACATAGAGCTAATTTAACCAGACTCTCAATTAAGTGAAATGCTTTTACCTCTATTTAATTATAATGAGAAAGGAATTAGTTATTTTTAAAATGTTTACACATGCACATTTTATGTCAACATGTATATATGTTTCTTTTTCCATATTGTCCAATTTATATCAAATAAATTACATTCTTGCCTCAGAAAACATAATAGAAAGCAGAGACTTTTACTATTTTGTTGATAGTAAGGGGTCAGAGAGAGGGGCGCTGTGCGGACAGGAAAGTTAGCAATCCTATCATGCACTTCACTTTACTAGGTTTTACACTAAGGATGGGACTGAGATCAGGATGTCTAATTAGAAACATTTTAGCCTGCCTCCAGAAGATCATCAGGGAGGGGTCCATTCTTGTCTCCCTAGGCAGAGAGTTCCAGAGATGAGGGGCAGCCACGGAAAAGGCACTCTCTAGTGTCTCCCCTAACTGTGTTTGCGATGGTGATGGGACTGAGAGAAAGGCCTCTCCTGAGGATCTCAGGGCCTGGATAGATTTGTACTGGGAGATACGGCCTGCCAAATAGCTTGGGCCTGAGCCATATAGGGCTTAACAGGTCATGACTAGCACTTCGAATTATGTCTGGAAACAAACTTGAAGTTAGTGGAGCTGTAGCAAAGAGGGTTCTAGGCCATAAAGCAATTTGTTGTTGTTGTTGCTCATTCGTTCAGTCGTTTCCAACTCTTCATGACCTCATGGACCAGCCCATGCCAGAGCTGTCTGTCGGCCGTCACCTCCCCCAGCTCCTTCAGAGTCAAGCCAGTCACTTCAAGGATGCCATCCATCCATCTTGCCCTTGGTCGGCCCCTCTTCCTTTTTCCTTCCATTTTCCCCAGCATCATTGTCTTCTCTAAGCTTTCCTGTCTCCTCATGATGTGGCCAAAGTACTTCAACTTTGTCTCTAATATCCTTCCCTCCAATGAGCAGTCGGGCTTTATTTCCTGAAGTATGGACTGGTTGGATCTTTTTGCAGTCCAAGGCACTCTCAGAACTTTCCTCCAGCACCACAGTTCAAAAGCATCTATCTTCCTTTGCTCAGCCTTCCCTAAGGTCCAGCTCTCACATCCGTAGGTGACTATGGGGAATACCATTGCTTTAACTATGCGGATCTTCCTTGCCAGTGTGATTTCTTTACTCTTCACTATTATCACATGTTAAATGGTAATTTAGATTTACTGATTTTAAATGGCTATCACTGATTATTTTGCCTTTTTAGTGAAATACCAATATTAACAATACAGTGAAATGACAGGAAAGTAGTAGAGATTTCTCATTTGGTCTATTACATAGAAAAATACATCAAGTTTAAATTGTACAGATTAGGGGAGAAATATTTCCTACTTTAAAAAAACATATTTAGAGTTGGATCTGCATTTTTCCTTCAGAAGTTGAAGAGCTCCTTCTGTTCTTCTGCTAGAAGAAGAGACAATTTTCAACAGTGGCCTCATGTTGTCCTCTATATTATTCATACCCTCTCTGTGAGCTTTTTGGGATACACAAAGTATAGAAGGGCAAAAATTGCCCCCCTTCCTTCAAGCAAACATTACTGTGAAATGGGTTCCATTCACAGGGATCTTGGACCCAGTCTTTGGCAGCAAAGTGTTCTTATTTGTGGCTTGTTCTCACCCTCTAATATGTAGAATGAATAGTGGGCATTATAATAAAAATGAATGTTTAGTTAAAACTGTTGAAATAAAAACGCAGCATTATTTATCTCAAGGATGAATGTGAATAAGGCCTTGCATTAATATGCTTTTCACGTTTTCTTCGAAGTCAGTCCTATTGAATCTATTATAGCTTATTTCATAGGAAGGGCGTGATCATGGCAGCCCCAAACTTTGTGCTATCTAAAACCGTTATCTAATCCTATGTATTTGATAAAGCTCTCATATTTTAGAATGGATGTTTGTAGATTTATGGTCAACTTAATGTTAATAGAAAAAAGTAAAATCATATCTGTATGACTAGAGCCAAACAAATTAGTCCCGTTTCTTTGGGTTTGATTTGGTTGCTAGCGATATAACCACCTCTTGATACAGCTAATTAACTTTCTCTTATTCTGCTTGATTCTAACTGAAATACCATGCTGAATTTCCCTGTTATCTGATATGTTCTATAGCTTGTTGAATTCTAGGTTGCCAGACCACCCACTTGTTTCCCTCTTTGTAGCTCACTTCCTTTCCGTTTTGATAGGAATGTATTTGGTGATAGCCTGAAGTGGCATTTGAGAGCCTGGCTGATCTGATGTATTAGAGGTTGCCGCCCAGGAAAGAAAAAAATATCTATTCCTAGAAGGCAAGTGACAGAGACAGAGTGTGCTGGTTCCCCCTCCTTCTTCAGCCCAGGCTGACCTTCTGCAGCCCCTTGGTGCCTCTTGTTTTCTTATTTTTATAGAAAATCGATACCCTTCCTGACACAAACAATAGCTCAAGAGCAGAACTAAATGGGGGAGAGCTAGGATCTGTCCATCACCTCTCACTTTAACTCTTCCAAACTATTTAATTATAGGCATGCTTTGCTCCAGGTGTTTGCAACACTGCAGATGCTAAATGAAGGCCATTTTAGCCAAAGATTGGGTGATCAATAACACTCTATAGCAGTAGCTTGTCGGATCAATAGCATTCATTATTTTGTGGTTAAGGTAAGTAGCCTCCATTGTAACTGGAGGTCATTAATCAGTGCTTACTGGACTGTATGGTGTATACTAAATGCTGGTGTATTTTCCCATGTATATAGGCTGTGGTTCTTTGGCATGAATCTTTGGGTGGAATTGTGATTATAAGAGATATAGAATTTGTTTAACTTTATTCTACTTCCTTATCTTGGGAAATTGAAGGGTTGATGGTATTTCAAAAGCAAAACATTCTAAAAATCTATAGACATCCTAACAGGTTCTCATGAGAGCTAGCTCAAACAAGAAGGCCTTGCCTAGAAGATTTCTAGAGGGTATCAGTGTCCATGTCATTATGTGTTGTTTTCTGTGACTGTGACAGAAGCTGCTTTGAACAGCAGATTGCATGGCACATGAGGCATTCAGTCTTCCATTTCTGTGCAAGTTTGCATTCCTTGAAGATATTAAAGCAGAGTGATCCCTTTTACCTTGAAACATGACAATTTAAAATTGAGATAGTAATAGCTGCAAGAGTTGGTTTTGTACTGAGACTTGTAGCACCTTCTTATGAAAATAGTGGAAGACAGCCTAGAGGAATGAATTCAAATTGTGAAGCCCACTGTAGAGTTTGGGACATGTTTCGCTTGTGCTTTTTCAGACCCAGATGTAATAAACTTTTACACTCTCAATATTACAGATTGCAATAAATAATACAGTATCCATATAGGTCCGTGATATTAGGTAGCTGGATAGTTTCATGTTGTGATAGGCAAAAATGTCAAGTAGTATGGTATCTCAATAAAATAGTTAAGAGTGGAGACATCACACTGGCAGCGAAAATCCGCATAGTTAAAGCAGTGGTATTCTCTGTAGTAACCTATGAATGTGAGAGCCGGACCATAAGGAAGGCTGAGCGAAGGAAGATAAACGCTTTTGAGCAGTGCTTTTAGAGGAAAATTCTGAGAGTGCCTTGGACCGCAAGGATACGCCATACTCCGGGAAATAAAGCCCGACTGCTCACTGGAGGGAAGGATATTAGAGGAAAAGATTATGTACTTGGAGAAGATAATGATGCTTGGGGAAATTGAAGGGAAAAGGAAGAGGGGCCGACCAAGGGCAAGATGGATGGATGTTATCCTTGAAGTGACTGGCTTGACTTTGAAGGAACTGGGGGTGGCCATGCACGAAGAGTCGGAAGTGACTGAATGAATAAACAACAACAAAGTCTGGTATTGGCTAAATAACTAAAATACTTTTAGACTTTCCAAAATAACTTTCAGTGATAAGTAAGTCCCTTGGTTAATAGGCATTGTCCTTCTTGTCCCAAGATGCAGTTTGGAGGTCCAACACCACACCTTTGTATACACCTCTGCCTTGGCAAACTTTGATATGTTGAGCACAGATTCGTTGTTTTCTCTTGGACAGTCAGACCAAAAAGAAAATGTCATATGCAGGGCTCTGCCTTGCTTTTCGATGCAGCAACAGATTGATTGTGGAATCTATTTTTCTGCAGTTACAGTACAAAAAAGAAAGTTGATATTACAAAGTTAAATTGTTATAGTCTGTTGTCCAAATTAAAGTATTAACTGCCTTGCACAGGATTTTTACCCCCTAGAGATTTTCTTGGAGCCCCTGGTGGCGCAGTGGGTTAAAGCACTGAGCTGCTGAGCTTGTTGATCGAAAGGTCGCAGGTTCGATTCCGGGGAGCGGCGTGAGCTTCCGCTGTCAGCCCTAGCTTCTGCCAACCTAGCAGTTCGAAAACATGCAAATGTGAGTAGATCAATAGGTACCGCTTCGGCGGGAAGGTAACGGCGCTCCATGCAGTCATGCCGGCCACATGACCTTGGAGGTGTCTACGGACAACGCTGGCTCTTCGGCTTAGAAATGGAGATGAGCACCACACCCCAGAGTCAGACATGACTGGACTTAATGTCAGGGGACTACCTTTACCTTTTTAGAGATTTTCTTATAAACAAAGAGGAAATATGAATCAATCACTCTTATTAACTTTGCAGAGCACAGGGGCAGTCTAAATCTCAAAGAAATCAGCTCTTCTGTTGCTAATAGAATTGAAATTGTGTTCATTGCTGTTGTTTCCCTTCAATTTTTTTCTGACTTAAGGCAGCCCTAAAGCAAACCTATCACAGGACTTTCTAGCAAGACATTTCTTCTATACTGCCCTATAGCCTAGGATCTAATCCCAGATTATCTGCTTATCCCAGATTATATGGCAGTGGGGACTAATATAATCTAGTTTAAACCAGCTAACCTGGGATCACATCCAGAGATATAAGGACAGTGTAGAAGGGGCCTGAGGCTGAGAGAATGGAGCTTGCCCAAGGACAGCCAAGGGGCATCAATGGCGAGTGGGTATTTGAATTGTGATCTCCAGAGCCATAATTCGGTGATTATACTACTACAGCATATTGGCTCAATTTTATTACCCATCTTGTATTGCCCTTTGTTTCTGGTCCTCACATGGCCAAAAAGGGGGTTGACTTCTGTCCGCATTGATATCTAGACCAACTTAACTGACAACAGAAATAACATCTGAAACAAATGTAGGCCTTTGACAGTAATATTGGGTACATAGAATTCATAAAGTTTGACTACACTTTAATTGCCATGACTTAATGCTGTGGAATCCTGGAAGTTGTAGTTTTATAAGATCTTTAGCCTTTTCCCGGAGTGCTGGTGCCCCACCAAACGACAGCTCTCAGGATTCCATATCATTGAGCCATGGCAGTTAAAGCGGTGTCAATGTGAATTAATTCTACAGTGTGATACACTCATTGTAACTTTTTTTCTCCTGTATGATTTTTGACATCTTTGCCTGATGAAGAAGCTGTCAAAGGACTGAGAGAATGGGATTTATTTCACATTCAGAAATATTTTTCCAAGTGTGAAACAAAGTAAACTATTCAGCTGGGAATTGATTCTGGACAGTATGTGTCATGCTGTCAATTGTCTACTTGGTATCTTGGAAATAATTATAGAGTATCCAGAAAAATGCTATGTGGAGACCAGAATTAGCTTGCATTTCAGTAAAAATTAATAGGCAGGGAAATCAATTGAAAGGTATTTATATTAATTGATATAAACTTCTTATCATCCTACATAAAGTTTAATCCCCCCCAAAGTATATATTTCAAAAGATAATCAGATTATGTCAGTAGTATCTCTTTATTCTAGTTAAATGACCTAATACTTGGCTGTTGGTTTCATCAGTAAAAGGAACAAAATTACTGCAAGGTTGAGAAATCCTGTAATGTTGCCTTTGCTCAGGAAATTTGTCTCATGTCATCACTCACTTCTTGCAAACACCCAGTCAGTTGTGCTCATTTTCTTCATACTCTAATTATCTCCTAACAGATTGCTAGAGCTACTCCAGGAAAATATACTAGCATTCACAGTAATTATTTTCTGTGAGCACATCCTGTTTGCTCATTCTTTCATGGTTGTACAGGGCCAAAGAACACAAAGATGCTGTCTTCTCACCATGACTCTTGTCACATGTTATATTGAAAACTACCCTGATATACTGCATGGAAACTATAGTTGGTGACTGAGAATGGCTTACTTAAGGGCAGTCAATCTGCCCACATCAATCTGAACACAATTCAAGGTGCTAGTGATCACTTTTTAATACTTCAGTGGCTTGGACTATAGGGGGCCATCTCATCTTGTATGAAACTAAATCCTATCATAGTCAACAACTTTCAAGCCACAGTTTTTTGAGTTTTTAAACTGAAGAGTAGCAGGTAACTGTATTAAATGAAATATCACATAAATTAAATGGCCTTCTGAAAATGGTTGTGCTTCCTGTGTGTGCATGCCTTGTGTGCAAATTTGACTTTTTGTCTCTTCAATAAAAGTGTTTCTTCCTTACCGTTCTTCTAATTTCACCACTAAACTTCAGATTTAGCTTTGGTATTCAATAACTGAATCCATCATTTATGTTCATTGCATATTTTTATTACTGATTTTCTTTCAATCTGTACATCAGGGTAGACTTTAGGGTTGCAGGATCTTTGTAATTTTAATAGAACTCCAGGATTTACTAGTTGGAGTCTGTTGCGAAAGCATTTTTATCTAGGAATTTGTTTTTGATTTCTATAGACATCACTCATAGACCTTGCATGTAAAATCCATTTAAGCAAAATAATCATTTTGTTGCTGTCACTGTTAATTAGTTGAGCATTAAAAATCATTGGTAATTTACCACAGACAGTTTAGAGATAGTCTGTATTGGAACAGTCCTTATTGTGTTGGATGTTTTTGGACAATTCAAAAGGTATGTTTACTTAATTTGCTGTATTCTCTTTCTAGTGAAACCAGCAGTGTATGTAGCAGCAGCGACACTGGTCTTTTTACCAATGATGAGGGCCGCCAAGGTATGTATGTCCTTTATGCCCCACCTTTATTTCTATGTGGCACCCAAAGAAACTCACAGTATGAGTTAAAACAAAATACAGATACAATTTGGGTAAGGCAGAATCGCATTCTGCTCCACTTTTGATATTTGTATTTAGAATTATAAGCAAAAGTAGTTGTTATCAATGGGCCACTATTTCCAAAAGAAGAAGAAGGAGGAGGGGGAGGAGGATGAGGAGAGGGGGGGATTGGAAGTTCCATGCATTTTTTAAAACTCCAAATTGTTGTTTTTGCAGTGGCTTGTATGCCTTTATCTGGGACCAAAGAATCAGTTTTACTAATTCAGATATTTTTGAACTCTCCGATTCTTTCCATTCCAGTTTCAAAGATATTTGTAAATATTGATAAAGTTTTATAAAGAAGGATTGAATTTTCATCCATATGCAATATGTAAATTCAATAGTTACAGCTATTCCCAGATCTAGATAACTGTATTGTAACTTCCTACCATGTAGCTGTTAAAATGAGGAGCCAGTAAGAGAACAAAAAGATGTAGCACTGCAAGCTCTCTCCCTAAACTGGAAAATCATATCAGCAGCATTTTCTTTCCTGTTTGAATATTAAAAACAGCAAGTTAGTTCTTGGGATGGAATTTTTTGAATTTCTAAAAAAAAAAAGATCAAAAATGAATTGAACAAAATTCTCATCTGGCTTGACTTTTGCAACGAGAGTTTTCTTCTGCTGTAGATTCTTACGTTTCCTGCAATTAGAAGGCTTTCACAATGTTAAAAAACTGCAATTTTTCTCAGAGTTACAGAAGCGAGGGTACTATATCCCCTGATATTGTATTTTACCATTTCATAAATACCTACTTTTAAAATTCTTATTCTTTTGGAATGTGCATATTGTCATCTATCTTTTTTTTAAAAAACAAGCCTACAATTATTATTTGCCAAAAAGTCTGCCCCAATTCATGTCATACCATGATGGGGGGGGGGGGGATATTTAAAATTGTCTCAAAAGACTTTTAATAATTTATTAAGTATGATTTGATGTAACTATAGCACGTAGTGGCAGTTGGTTGTTAAGGTTACTTTTTTGGTGTGCTTGTTGCAATTACTTTGATATACTGGGCAGTTTCTAAAAAATAATACAATCGACAGTAACTTCACAGTTTGATGGTGCCTTATGCTGCCAAACATAAATGACAATTTTAGTAGATCAATAATGTTCAAGCATGACGTAATACATATAATAGAAAGTTATTGGACTGGATGAGGGCCAACAGAGACTTAATCCAGACAAGACAGAGGTCCTCCTGGTCAATCACAAGGCCATCCGGGGTATAGGATAGAAAGCTGTGCTTGATGAGTTTACATTTCCCCTGAGGACACAGGTCTGCAGTCTGGGTGTCCTCATCGTTGACACTTGAAGCTCAGGTGTTGGTGGTGGACCGAAGGACCTCTGCATAGTTAAAACTTGTGCACCAGCTGTGCCCCTTCCTCAAAAAGCCTGATTTGGCCACAGTGGTCCAGGCCTTAGTTACATCCAGAATGGACTACTGTAATGCACTCTATGTGGGACTGCCTTTATTACCAACTGGTGCTAGCTTTAGGGAACATATTTATTTATCAAATCAGGAGCAAATCAAGGGTACAGTTGTAATGTATTTAAGAAAACACAAACTTTAAAACTTGGCATTATATTAAATGTCCTTTGACCAGTAGCTGGCCACTCTGGTGTTGCTATAAGAAGGGAACATACAATGCCCCTACTAAAGCAGCTCCACTGGCTTCCAACAAGCTCAGTTCAAGGTGCAGGTTATTGTCTATAAAGCCCTATACATTTCGGGGGCAACCTGTCTTCGAGAGGGCACCTTTTTCCATGAACCAGCATGGGCTTTGAGATTAACTGGAGAGGCCTTTCTCTCAGTCCCACCACTGTCTCAAGCGTGGTTGATGAGGATGAGAGAGAGGGCTTTCTCTGTGATGGCTCCCCCGGCTCTGGAATATCCTCCTAAGAGACATTAGGTTAGCCCATTACCCTTGAATCCTTCCAATGTGGCCTAAAAACATGGATTTTTGAACAGGCTTTTGACCTCAAGTAGGCTGAAAAGGGCCCATATGAGGTTGACACTCTGGCACTTCAGTTGTGAATTTATGGCAGCTAGTTTTATCTACAGATGTTCTGTGTTTTTAAAGTTGTGCTATTCTATTTTATATCATACGTGTTGATAGTGGTTGTTTTTATAATTTCTATGTAGTATTGTTTTATACTCATGTACCGTTTATGCTATATGCTGCATCTTGGAGTGCCTTTGTAAGCCACCCTGAGTCCCTTCGGGGAGATGGTGGTGGGATATAAATAAAGTTGATTATTATTCTTATTATATTTTCATTGTAACTACATAACTAAATATGGTGCATCCAATTAAAACATTCACATGGGCATTTGATTTTATAGAGGAATAGTAGTATAAGATATCAGGATATTTGATTTTTTGTTTGTTCTTAGGTGATGATGAGCAGAGTGATTGGTTCTATGAGGGAGAGTGTGTCTCAGGATTCACAGTCCCTAATCTTTTGCCCAAATGGGGAACTGACCGCCAGTCTGATATGGAACACATGGACTCCAACCTAGATAAAATCTCAGATCCAACATTCCTTCTGCCCTCCCGACCTGCTACGAGAGGTAAGGGTGCTTATGGGTATTTTAGGGATTGTTGACCTAGTTCCAGATGTTTGTAGATGTGTGAGTTTTGATTAATCTATACGAGTGAATTTGTTACAGTGAGTTGTATATAACTTTTCTGGGTGTAAGGCTGCCCCTCACCTAACATATGTAAATATGTTAAACCAGTTTTGCTGCTATTGGTTCTTTTTTGGGCACAATTCAAAATGCTGGTCATGATCTGTACAATCCTATATGATATATACAACCCTGGCTTAGGACCATCCTATCTGAAAGATATTTAAACCTACATATAAACCTGACAGAGTTCTAAGATCTACAGGGGAAGACTATCTCTTGGCTCCACCACCATGATGTGGACACAAGGGAGGGCCTTCTCTGTAAGTTGCTCCCACTCTCTGGAACTTCCTCTTGTGAGATGCTAGGCTGATCCCACTCCCCCTTTCCTGCTTTCCTTTTGCCAGCAGGCAAAGTCCTTCTTGTTTAAAAAGGCTTTTAATGTGTAAGTAGGGGAGCTTCTTGTTAGGATGTTTTGTTTATTTTTAAAAACTTTTGCAGTGTTTTAAAATGATTTTATATTGTTTTATGTGGTAATTTTAATATTGTTTTAATTTTACTGTGAAGGGTTTTTTTTAATTGACTGTCTCTAGGAGCTGCCTTTGGTCCCACTCTGGGAGAAAAGCGGCATGCAAATGAAATAAAAAAACAAATCATGTAGCACCCTATTGTCAGGAGAGGATGCTGTTTCCCATATGGTTACCTTGTCTTGTGGAATCTTTGGTCATTTTTGTATAGGCAAAGCTTACTGGAAGATTTGACAAACTGCCTGATCTCTACAAAATATCAGAATTAACATTGGTAATTACAGTACAGTCTAGTTTATTGTACTGCCTTCTATCTAACTGTGTCATGGTTTCTGCTGTGGTTTGGGGATTTCACTATTCTGTTCTATTCCTTTTCAGGATTTCATGCCCGCTTGAACCGCCTGCCCAGTGTTGCAACTCGTTGTCTTAGGAAGGGACGAAGGAGGCTGGTTAGCAAGGTATTTGCTTTTCAGAAGTTGGGAATTAGTTATTAGTCTCATAGCTGAAAGAAACCCCTGCTGCTGACTGAGGACCGCTTCATCTTGTTTTCTAACTGAAAAACTCTATTTGTAAGTAGATATGGTATTTATTTATCGTGTCAGGAGCAGACCAAACAATTGTATTGCATTTTTAAACAAACAAACATACAAAACACAAAGTTTGAAAGCTTGGTAGTTGATTAAATGTCCTTTGACCAGTATCTGGCCACTTGGAGTGCCTCTGGTGTTGCTGCAAGAAGGTCCTCCATTGTGCATGTGGCAGGGCTCAGGTTGCATTGCAGCAGGTGGTCAGTGGTTTGCTCTTCTCCACACTTGCATGTCGTGGATTCCACTTTGTAGCCCCATTTCATAAGGTTTGCTCTGCATCTCATGGTGCCAGAGCGCAGTCTGTTCAATGCCTTCCATGTCGCCCAGTTTTCTGTGTGCCCAGTGGGGAGTCTCTCATTTGGTATCAGCCATTGATTGAGGTTCTGGGTTTGAGCCTGCCACTTTTGGACTCTCGCTTGCTGAGGTGTTCCAGCAAGTGTCTCTGTAGATCTTAGAAAACTATCAAAAAATAGTAGATATGGTAAAACTAATGCAATGTTTCATTTGAAAAGGCAGTTAAAAATGCTAAGTAGGAATGCCAAGATGTGGTATGGAAAAAGGAACAAAGCTAAAATGCTTTTGGAGCAGTGAAGGAAATAAGGACATCCAAAAATGAGCAAAGGGTGCAGGAAACATGTTTTTGTAAAACCCAGCAAATCTTTAATGTAGTAGTGCATTTGTTGTTATGTTCTATGGATATTAGCTTCAGGGCTTTTGATTTTTGAGTTTTGAATTGCAAGTGTTTCTTGCCATTCTTTCTGGCACTCTCTCTGATAAATCTTGGTCTCCCAAGTCTTAGTAACGAAAGGGATGGAAATAGGCAGATGTATTTAGTGGGAATCCAGACCTTCTATTCCTTTTGCTCACAGGTCCTGTAGAAATTGATAACTCTATATTTTGAGCCATTGGGCACCCAAGGTACCCCATCGTGTTTTCAATGTTACTGAAAGTATTGGAAAGCTTTGCGGTAGGACAACTTCCATCTATTAAAAAGACTACTGTTAGTTCCAAGTGTTATAGATAGTATGTGCCCCAGCAGATCAGTAGCTAGGTGTGGGGAAAGTGGTTTATTTGTTTCTTTTCCCCCTTCTTGGCTTTTGTGTTCAACAGCTTCTGTGCGCCTTTTCTCTCTCTTAACTGCTAAGTTAAAGAGCTCTGAAATACAGCTCCTGTTATGGCGAATGCAGTGTCTTGTGCACAGAGTGTCAAGCCACTGGTAAGAGCCTAGAGCTGTTAGCTTTTTTGGAGGCACCTCTAATGATCCAAATTGAGAAGAATAATATTTACTTGTTTAATTCATCTTCATCACCTTAAAGGGATCTATGTCATTTGCAATGGAGGTCACTGCTCCCCCCACCTCCATCCTCTTCTAAATTGTAATAATAAATAATGAGTTTCATTCAAAGCTCCCCGCCAGCGAGCTGCTAATTACCCAAAGTACGGCTTGTAATTTACACAGTAATAAACCGTAAATTTAAACATTACGGCGCTTTAAGTTAATAATTTCTCTGCTGTAACAAATAGCCCATCTCTCATCCATCCTACTGCTGTCTTGCAGATCTTGCATGTGATGTTTTTCAGGGTTCTTGGGCACAGGCCTACTACTGTTGTTGATCAGATTCCAGTCCTGGTTTTGGAGGAATTTGTTCTCTGTATTGAATGACCTCAAGCATAGAGCTCAGTACGTTAACCTGTGCAACTGTATACACTACAATGCAATGCACTGAATCGATAGAAGCTGCTTTACCTTTAAGCATATGTCATAAACTCTTTTAGATATCTTATTCTTTTTTTGCTTTTGTTTATTTATATGAGAGACCTAACTTCTAGGAAGATGCTAGATTATTGGAAACTATTATTATTCGAAGGAATTGAGGAATTCTGCCATATTTTGTAGCCTTCCTTTAGTGCTGTTTCTAGGTTACCTCTGAGTGGAGAAAGTAACCAAGTTACTTGTTTTAAGCAAGTGCGTTTAAAGAAATAGAGCAAAATGGGGTCTAAAATGTTCAGATCTTTCTGTAATGAATTAAACAGAAAAATTCCAATAAATAAACATGAAATGTGTTCCTGCTAATATATGGTCCTGTCTTAGATTATGCAGACTAAACAAAAATACCAAAATTCTTAATTATGAATCTAAAGAAATCACAAATACATTTCTAATTAGGCATTTTTGGTCAGAGATGCAAGGGTAGTAAGAGGTATGTCTATTTATAGAATAAATTTAGGATGGAACATAATAAACCGTATGATTTATTACTATCAAAAGCAATTTAGTTGTATTTCACTGTAACAGGAGTTAATAACTACATTAAATGTGAACGGAACAAAAGGAGAGCAGTTGGATCCATTTTTTTTAATCCTGAAGATCTTCCTGAGCAGTAGTATTGAATTTGGTATAATTTGGATTAGTTTAGTTCAGAATCCTCCCCCATCCCCAGTAGTGAACTATGATTGACTTTTCTCTGCTGGCATATGGCTAAAAAGGGTATGAACATCCATAGAAGTAGTGAGTTAGGCATACCTGCAGGTATAATACTCTGCTTTCTAGCAAATTCTCCATGAAGCAGGAAGAAATAACAGTCTACTTCTTGGATAATATTAACATTGCAACCCTATTTATGTTAACTAGATGTAAGTTCTGTTGAATGGTATAATTTACTCCCAGGTGTGAGGATGTAGTATTTCAACCTAAGTCTTTAGATGTTCATGTAAGGGTTTTTGTCAAGGACTAAGATTGCCTACTATTTCATAACTCAAATGTGTAATATTCAGTTTATATTGAGTTTCCAGGCCTTGTTGATCATACTGGGACTGATTAGCAGAATGCCATCATAAGAATAAAAAAAGGAGTAAAAGTTCTTTATGGAGATCATGAAAGCCTGGTTGACTATTTTCTTAGGGCCCTTCCAGACAAGTCCAAAATGCAGGACTTGTCTTGGTTTTACTTGGTTTTACAAATGACACCTCAGGAAAAACCAAATTAATCCAGAGAAAACTGGGATATCTCAGTTTGCTGTGGCTTAATTTGTCACCAGGAAAGATCCAGACCTTAAGCAAAGATTCAGATCTTTGCAGGTAAGAGCCCTGTGAAGATTAACTCTTGGGACTACTTCTGCAGTCCCAGGGTTTAATCCCCACAGCAGTCCTGGTTCTTGAGCTCAAAGGGTGGTGCCCCCACTCTCCTCTTCCCACCCAGCTCCCCATTTCCCCCAAAAAAATCTTACATGTGGGGCCTGCATTACCTCCGATATGTTTGTTGGGGGACATGGGGGGGTTTGTAAGGTGGCTGGATGTCTTCCTGTGGTAGCTATCACCCAAGGGAAATCCTGTGGTTGTGGGAGGATGTAGGGCCTTAATGCCAGGAGAAACTGGGTTTAAATAACCCATTTCCTCCCTGGATTAATGCCTTTCTGGAAGGGCCCTCATGATGGTTAACTTCTTACAGAACTGCTGGAATCACATTCTGTTACTAATTGGCCAGAAGTTAATGATGATCTTTTGACAGTATATGAACATGAACATAATGAGTGTGGCATGTGTCTGTGATGATTGGTTCTGATTGAATACAAAAGGAGTTCAGGCAACAGGCTGTATGTAGGTTTTAGGTGTGTCTTCTCCCCTTGTTCATGAACCCCTTTTCTCTTTAAGCTAACTTTCCACCCTCTCCTCCATTTATTTTCATTTGGGACTTACCCAGATATTAAACAAATAGGTGTGGTTCCAGACTCAGTGTTCCCCCTGTTGTCACTTTGTGTTTCAGGAGACCATCATGAGTGCTATGGGCACTGAGAGAATTAGCCACATCATTGGTGATTCCTGCCAAAAAGAGTAAGCATATGTGTCCTGCTGACAAAACTCTTAGAAGCTGGAGTCTCATAGTACAGAATGAGACTAGTCCTTGCTTGCCTTATATGACTGTTGGTTGTGGATCCTTGCAGTTAAGAAGGGATAAGGAGTTTATCTTGCCCACTTCCCATGACCCTAACAATGGCTATTGCACTGGTCCCTACTAGTTGAATCGGTTCTCCTCATTTTTTTCATAATATGCATTTACTAAATGCACAAATGCCCCTCATTGATTAATAAAAGGTCAGATCTAGGGGGCTGCCAACATTATGGCATCATACCAATGACATGATCAAAAGTAGTAGCCAGTCTTTTTTTAAAGGGAGGAGTTAACAAAGTTCTGTTCTTCAAGGGGCAGCTCGGATTGGATAGAACACTTCCACCATAAATGTTGAGGGTGGACCAAAAGGTTTTCTTCTTGATATGGTGGCACTATCTGCTACACCCTATTAATTTAAGATAGTGTGGGTTCCCTTGATTGTACTTTATTTAATTAAGTTTTCCTTAGTTGTTGATAGTTAGATTTATTCCTGTTGTCTTGAACCTGTCTTTAGCACGCTTATGTTTCGCAAAAATCTAATCTGTTTTTCTTCCTTTTGCATCTGCTTTTCCTTGTTTTTGTTTTTTCCCCTGTTCTTTTCTCACGCTTCCTCCGATTTCATGTCTTCTGCCAACTCTAGTTTCTGGTTGCCATCAATGGGAATGAGAGATCGCAACCAGGTAAGCGGGATCTACTTTACTTTCTTTGTAAATTTTCACTGGACTTCTGTTTCTCAAGAAAGAATCAAAGCTTGGCTTTCAGTTTCTTCTTCCACATTACTGTCTGTCTGAAAGAGGTAAGGTCTCCTCATCCTTTGGTCTTGCATCATGCCTGGCAGGCCACAGTAATTCCTTCTGCAAAAGTGTACCTCGGGATTTCAATCTTCTTTTGCGATTAAGTTATTGAGCTACCTTGTCATCTTGCTTTTTGAGTATTTTGAAAGCATGCAAGCAAGTGTTTAACTAAATAAACTTTCTTCTTGAACAGTGTTGGGAAGTTTTGACATTTTTCCTAGCTCCTGTGACTGGTATTCAGCCATGCACTGTGTGTGTGTGTTTCTGAATGCCTGATTGTCTGTGTAAAGAGAGAGAGACAGCCATGAGGATTTACACTTGAGTTCTTCAGCTACACCCTCTCCTAGGTTGCACCAATGAAAGAGATTAATGAACCAACTCTTGGGCATGTAAAGTGGTTTAATTAATAAACACTGATGCTGCCAGATAATGGAGCTTCTGTTTCCTTTTCAGTGGGAAACACTGATCCTTTTAAACTCAGAAGCATTTGGGCATTTTTCCTCCCCATTCAGTGTCACTATCTTGTTTCATTGGCAATGATGGCACCTGAAAATGCCACTCTGTTTCTCAAATTGAGAATTAGCCATGCAAATTCTGAAGCTTGGTTGATGCTATTATGTCTTCCTTCCTTTCTTTGACAGAATATTCATATGTTTATTCTTATAAGTGATAGGCGTGAATATCTGGCAAAAAAAAATTCTTCCGTGAGTCCAAGGAAATCCTCTCCCTGCTTGAAGGCCTATAATCTTGTAGTTTGAAACACAATATATTAATCCAGTTGAAAGAGAATTCTAATTTTGATTCCTTTACATTCAGAATGTTTCAGGCCTAATTCTTCCTATTGTATTCTTACTTCTTTGGGTTTTATGGAAATGAAGTGTTAGTAATTGCAGAAGTACCTTTCCAAATGTAAGCAGGAGAAGGTAACCTTTTAAAAGAAAATCTATATAATGCATGTTATTGTACAGAGCTATTTCATCAGTTTACATTATAGTAAACTTCTGTTGAAAATAAACAATAAAATGCACCACAGCAGTTGATGAGGTTAGCACTTGCAAGTGTTCGTGAAGATAGGTGACAAGGTGAAATGTGCCAACATTGCTATAAATGCTGCTTTTTGTCAGCATCCTTTGCTCAGAAGAGTGAACTCCGAAGATTAAACTGTTCTAAATATTCAGCAGGGCACACATGGTACAATTTTCCTGTGACTGAACTAGTATATATATATCCTCCTGCTCCCAGTAAAAACTTTTGTCTCCATGTACAAAGTTCCACATTCCAGAAAAGCCTTGGAGTCTAATTGCCTCAATGACATGTTAGATTTGCACATGCATGAAGATTTTAATGTGTCGAGAGCTTACAAGCATTTAATCAGTGTGGTTCAGTACCAAAAGGATTCTGTCATATACCCTGCTCAGTGTTTTAATAGCTCTTAGTTTTTCTCGAACTTAAAAGTGATGCTGTACTGTGTTTGACTATAAAATCTATATTGTTGTGATAAAGTAGTTTACATTTTAATGTAATAAACATAAAGATGTCATATTATGGTAACATGATATGGGAAAACATTTGATCTATTGATAAAGCTGATGGCTTACCTCTTGTCTCTGTTCAGACCAGTTTATGTCATTTGGTTTGCAAATGCAATTTTCTGTGATACTAAAGTTGCATTCTGTGATACAAGTTCTCAAATGGATTACAGTTGGCCCTTCATACTGACAGATTCTGTATCCACAGATTCAACCGCCCACGATTTAAAACTTTGCACCCCATTAAAAAAATTCCAAAAGTAAACCTTGATACAAGGGGAATGATTTTACTACAGCATTTTATATAATGGGACTTGAGCATCCATTGATTTTAGTATCCATGGGTAGTGGGGAGGGGCTATAATTAAACTCTAGTGGATACCAGATACTGTATGTTGATGGCAAATATTTCATGGCAGAGGTTGGCTGTGGTCATGACATATAGGTAACGATGCACAACTGAGAACAAACTAGAGCAGGCATGGGCACACTTTGACCCTATAACTCCCACAATTCCCAACAGCTGGTAAGGTGGCTAGGATTTCAGGGAGTTGACGTCCAAAACACTCAGAGGGCAGAAGTTTGTCCATACCTACTCGAAAGGTAGTTTTACTCACTTGGAAAATAGGAAACAGTGTTTCCTCAAAAGGTTAATGGAGTTAGGTATGTTTATGTATGATCGCTGTTGTAAATTTATGTTGCCATTATTTATATGCCTATATATGGTTTATTTTATGTTCGGCACTTGGAGTGCTTTTCTGAGCCACCCGAGTCTCTTCGGGGAGATGGTGATGGAGTATAAATAAAGTTTATTATTAGGTTTGTTGCTAACAGATCTTAGAAAAGTTAGTTTTTGGATTATAAGTTTGCCCGTGCCTGCTCTGAGTGACTGGATGAGGAGAATTTAGCAATCTTTATTCAAATAGTGTCACATAATACGCTGATAATACTCTGTTAACCACACTTCTTTTGCCTTTCTAGTTCAATCCACTATCTCCCTTGTATTCTTTGGATGTTCTTGCTGATGCGTCCCACCGAAGGTGCTCTCCAGCACACTGCATAGCCAGGTAACTATTACGCTCCACTTTTGTTGTGATGAATAATAATATCTGACAGCTTACGTGATATATCTGTCAGAAAATAGGCTACTCAGATAGTTTTATTTAAAACATTTCTACATGTCTTTCCCCTAGGCAGTTAATAACCGTAACGTTAAAGAAATTAAATGACCTTAAGGTAAACAACTCCAAAACAAAAAGCAGCAGAACAAAACAGTGCCTTAACAGCACTATTTAAAATAAGGACATGGTTTAAAAAAAAACAGGCTTTGTAAAAAAGAGGGTATTTGTTGTGCAGCAGAAGCCATTAATTAAGAAGAATGCAATGTGTTTACTATTTAGCATCTGTTCAGTGTCAAAGCTTTTACTAGGTAAATACAGTTCTTTAGTTCCAAGTACACTACAGAAATTATGGAAACTGAATTGCTAAATTCAGCAAGCCTACTTGAGTTGGAACCTGTATTTGTAGCAGGATACATATGAAGTTCTCCAAATGTTGTTGCACAACTCTCAGGATGACTTATCACTGAATAGGCTTGCTTGGACTGTTCGAAGTTTCAGTCCAACAGTATCTGGCAGGCTGCATAATTCTGCAGTACTTGGAGAATGCCATGACTGTAGGTGAAATATTGTGAGAATGGATCTATGCTTGAAAGATAAAGATCCTTTTAAATTACATTAAATTGTGACTTTGATTACATGTGCAGAATATAACTGCCATATCTGTGGTTTAGAGGGCAGTTTTTTTTTTGCACGTTTGGAGAGTAGCCTCACAACCTTATGCTATTGCTCCTCTCAACGCTTTTGTCCTTGGAATACATCTCCCCCTTGTATGAAGGCCTGTTTACTACCCAGTTTCCCTATGAGATCGCCCCTTCAACTAACCTCCTTTCATCTCACCCTGAGTTTTTAATCATTTTATCGTACATGTGGCCCACTCACTGTTATTGCGATTGCTCATTGCACTCTTATGTTTTGTGTCTATTGCTTATTGTATTCATTATGTTTCTGTATTTTACTGCATTGTTGCTTGTGCTTCGGTTTTATTTTATTGTATTTTACTGTATTGTAATTTTCTGTCTGGGTTTGACCTCATGTAAGCTACCTCGAGTCCCCATTAGGGGAGATGGTGGCGGGGTATAAATAAAGTTTAATATTATTATTATTTTCCCCAAGGGAGTTATCTTCCAATCCTATTTGTGGAATGACTCATGTTTACTGAACTATTCCTTGAATGTTTATATATGTTCTTGTTTTCTGGCATGTAGTCTATAGTCAATATGAATTATAAATGAAGAAACTTACTTTATGACAGGGGCTTAGTTTGTGACAGATTCTTAGGTTAAGACTAGGATGGCAGCCAGTAGTGGTTGCTGGGGGGGTAGCTAGGCCTTGTACTAGACTTGTAACCGTTTGCTGGCAGTGTCTAAGGCATCTTGACGATTTGAAAACATGAGATAGAAATATACAGTATATATTTCCAAGTCCCATATGAGCGTGATTCTATTTAATTGCAAGATGATTTTAAAGTAAAAATTTTCCACAAAATCCACCTCTGCCCAATAAATAGAGCTTATGAACTTATAAATAGTCCAATGGGTGGCAGCCAGGTTGCTCACCGGAATGATGTACAGGGACCATACCCCCCCCCCCCCCCCCCCCCCCCGTTACATCAGCTCCACTGGCTGCCAATTTGCTACCGAGCACAATTCAAAGTGCTGGATTTAGTCCATAAAGCCCTAAACGGTTCTGGCCCAGCTTCCGTGTCCAAACGTATCTCCCTCTATAAACCACCGCATAATTTAAGATTTTCTGGGGAGGCCCTGCTCTCGGTCCCGGCTCTCTCACAGGCACAATTGGAGGAGACGAGAGACAGGGCCTTCTCAGTGGTGGTCCCTTGACTGTGGAACTCCCTCCCCAGCAATGTTAGATCAGCCCCTTCCTTTCTGACCTTCTGCAAGAGAGTGAAAATGTGGCTTTGTGACCAAGCCTTTAGAGAACTTCAGATAGACTTGGGACAATGTGCAACGACCATTGGAATGGCTCGGATTATGCTTGTGGATTACATGTTTAACATATTTAAAAGTTTAAATTGTTTTAATGTACATTTTAATTCTATTTTAATATTTATTTAAGTGTATATTGTGTTTTAGGGCATCCAATTGTTTGCCTGTATGTAAAGCCACCTTTAATCCTCTCCAGAGTGAGAAAGGTGGGATAGAAATGGCCTAAATAAATAAATAAATAAATAAATAAATTGAATATTTTAATAAGATCAATCTTCTTGAATGTGGGATTGTCAGGTGTCCTACTTTAGGTGCACTAGGAAGAAAAATACAACAACCTTCAAAAGTTGTTGTGGCTTAGGCTGTAGTTAGGCTGACTGGCATTTCAGTGTGAATTTTATTTTTTTCGTCCCTTCATAAACTGCCAGTTCCTGCAAGACTTGTCTGTCTTTGGAAAGCCATTTGTGGATGCATTACCCAATGGAAAAGCCTGTTAACAGGCGAATACTGTTTTTGTTTTTATTTTAACTGCCTTCCTTAGTCCATATTTTCTTTGCCTCCCTAGTGGTTCCTGGTACAATTCATTTAAGTGGCATTGCAGTTGTCATGTAACTCATTGCTTCATTTAAACAGAGCCGCCAGCCAGATTGCTGAATATGAAGCCATGGGTGTGCAAGGAGGGGTTCTTCAGTGTCAAGGAGAAGGCCCTGTGCGAAGGCTTCCTTGGAAGATGCAGTTAAAAGACTGTATAAATTGCAATATACCAAGATTCCCTTTCTTGCTTCCTGTCTCTGATGTGTTGAGAGTTCTCTCAAAGTGACAGAAACAGCACTGGGAATTCCACACCCATCATTAGACAGGGTGTGCACGCATGCACTCATGTGTGCCTGGTGACTGTTATCATTAGTAGTATAATTTTATTTTGCAAAGCGAAGAGTGTTTTCTGCTTTTTTTCACCTTCCTCCCTGGAGATGGTTGGTGTATTAATTTGCTGGATTGCCTCCTGGCTGTTCCCAGGCTGTTTTTGATTCTTCATCATGGAATTTTAATGGCCTGCTGCCTCTCGGGAGGCATGTGAGGAAGAGCATCTTGGGGACTGCTTCCTTTCTTTTCACATGCCTGTAATTGCTGCTCTTTAAGAGCACAAAGCATTTACTAATCATGCCATGTCTGTCATGGCTTCTGTTTTGACAAGGCTTTCTCTTTAGAGGAAAGCATGAAGAAGTTGGCATTGAGAATTCGTTTCAGTACCATTTTTGTGTCTCCAACTTGTGAATGGCATCATACTTCCTTTTCATGATCTTGTATAGTGACTGCTTTCCTTGCTGGCTTGGAGCATTGTTGACTAGTTGGCCATTTGGGTTGTCAGTATGCTGTTTCTCTAAAATAGGCCAAGGTTTCCCAAGCAGAGCCATGCCTCGGTCAGGGTCTTGCTTTGTCTTGGTCGTTCTGTTGTGGTAAGAGTTTGAGTTTAGCATAAAATCTCTCAGATCCAAGGCAGATGAAGACAAACATGAGTATTTGATCTGCTCAATGGAAACAGTACAGATGGGGGCAAAGCATGACGTAGTATCAGTCAATGAAACAATACCCATAGGTCTTAAGCAAAACAAAAAGTCTTAAGGGTGCTATTACCAGCCTCTGGGAAACTTCTTTCCAACATCTATTGGTAAGTGAAGCCTGAAGGAGAACACTAGCTGGAGTTCATCCCACATTTATTTATTTATTCATTTACTATAGTTATATCCCATCCTTCTCACCCCAAAAGGGGGATTCAGAGCAGCCTTACAAAAGGCAGCAATTTGATGCCATACACAGACATCAGTAAAAATAAACATATACATTAAAAGCAAAAATCAACAGCAATATTAAAACAATTATTAAAATCACGCCATTCAGAGTCAAATCCAAGGCCATTCTATTAGTCATGTCACAATTCCATATACTCACATTGCACTAATTTGCACTGGTTATGGGACCAAAGACTTGGTCCCATAACCAGATTAATAATAATATATCTCTGTCTGCACATCACCACCCCACCCCCATCTTTGATATGGTTATACCACAGAGTGAGTGGTTCTGATAGGGTAGATGGAGTTAATAAAAAAGGATGGCTTTTGGTTGTGATGTAGTAGTATAATGTACAGAGAAAACAACATCATAGAAAACAAAGGCAGTGATAGAATAATAGTGAACAAAATCTTCTGGTGAAAGTAGCCAATGAGTGGATATGAATTATTGTGACACTAGTTCTATTGCATATTCTATTAAGAAATATGAGTGACCGTCACTTCAGATAAAAAGGCATTTTAAATAGATTACATCCAAATGGGGCTACATTCCAAATAGGCAACTCTGGTTGCCAGTCTCTTCAGTAGAGATGTACACAAGGGTTTGAAATTGCTATTTTTTTTATTACATAGACACTTTTCTGTGTGTAGTAATGAGTTAATCCTTCCATACCAAGATGTCATGTTTGATGGGACAGATTGGAACTACTAATAGTTACTTTCACCTGTGATGTGCAGATCAGACTTAGGTGCTCAGCTGGCTGGTGTCTTTTCAAAGAGAAGGAGGATGTCTGTTCTTACTAATAATTTTGACCTTTGAAGGCATCAGAAATAGCCCCAGGTGGTACCTCAAGCCACCTTTAATGCAACCCATATTTGCAGAGGATGCTGTAAGCACAATGGAAACAGCTGGACTGAGTTCAGCCTTGTTATCCATACCACAAATAGTAAGTGTGTTATACTAAACATTTCTTTCTACATGAATATAGCTGAACAGTTTGTTTGGAAGAGAACATATTAGCACTCCTTGCTGTATGGTTTTACATTAGCATAATCCATGTACTTTATTTCAGAATTTGGGATAAAGGAAGAACCTTCAATTGTATCAGTAGTGTGTGGGTTTGCAGCGAGCAACTGATATCTCAGGTTCTTTGAAAGCTCTCAGTTGCTTATGAAATTCCTGAGTTTGATATTACAATAACAAAGGACCGGTTTTCAATTGAGGCCCCTCTCTGTTGTGAAGCGAGTTCTTTATATGGCTGTCACTCTGAAGGTCAATTGCAATTAAACACGAATTCTTAGAAGTGTGTCTTTAGTGTGGAGAGTTTCTTGAAATCTTTCATTCCATCTTGTTTGCATCACATACATTTGAAGAAAAGAAGACTAGATTTCCTCCCCAACACTCTGTTCTGTAATTGACCCAAATACATTGATTCTGGTGTTCCAGCCTAGCCAAGCAAGTGCATTCCCTCTGCATTTATTCCTTTTATTTATCTATTTTAACCCCAAGACACAATAGTTGTGCTTTATTATAGGGATGGTAATTGATTAAAGAATTAGATATGGGGTGCATGCATTAGATTCTTGGCAGGAGGTTAGACTGGATGACGATGATAATGATGATGATGATAACAACAACAACTTTATTTTTGTACCCCGCCTCCATCTCCCCGAAAGGACTTGGGGCGGCTTACATGGGGACAAGCCCGAGTAAACATAGTTAAAATATATCACATCAAAATTCATTAAACGGCAACAAAAACAAAATAAAACAAACAACAGCATAACACAGTATAAAAACAACCATCAAATAGACATTCAGTACCTGAAATAGCCAAACAGGGCAGGGCCGATAGGTAAAGTGCAAGCGCCAGATGACAAAATTGGGGATAAGGACAATATGAGGTGCCAGCCTAATCTCTCTGGGGAGAGAAATCCAGATCTGAAGGGCCACCACCGAGAAGTCCCTCTCCTCCGTTCCCACCAGTCACACTTGTGATGGAGGTGGGAGTGAGAGGGGAGTCTCCTCAGAGATCACATGGGTTCATAGAGGAAGATGCGATCACGAAAACAGGCAGATCCCGAACCATTTAGAGCTTTATAGATGATAACCTCCAACTCTTCGTGACCTCGGAGGTTATCATCTATAAAGGTCACGAAGAGTCGGAGACGACTGAACGAATGAACAACAACAAGATGATAACCTGCTCCTTGAATTGAGGCCGGAAAGTTGTTGGTAGCCAGTGAAGCTGTTTGAACAGGGGAGTTGACTGCTCCCTCTAATTTGCTCCAGTTAACAACCTTGCCGTCGACCTTGGAACTACAGTTTCCAGGCCGTCTTCAAAGGCAGGCCCATATAGAGTTCATTACAGTGGTTGGCCTATGAGGTCTCTTCCAGCGCTATGATTCTATGATTTCTGGTTGATTCACCATGAGATGGGATGGACTGAGCACATGCTTAGGGAAATTGGTTGCTGCTGCTACCCTTAAGCGTGTTTCTGCTGTTTTGGCTAGAGCATTGCTGCAGAACACTTAACATGGGATACATGGTTCAGGTCCAACCTATCTTTGTGACCGCATCTCCCCCTATGAATCAGTATGGGCTCTTAAGATCTGCCGGAGAGGCCCTCTTCTTGTTCCTGCCTCTGTCTATAGTACGGTTGGTGGGGTGAGGGAGAGGGCCTTACCGGTAGTGGCTCTCCAACTCTGGAATGCCCTCCCCAGGGAACATAGACAAATCCCTACACTATTTTATTTATTTATTTCGAGCATTTCTACCCCGCCCTACTCAACCCCCAAAGGGGGACACAACACTACAACACTTTAAGAAAAAGTTAAAAACTTGGTTTTGTCAGCAGGCATTTGATAACCAGAACTGATCGCCAACTACTTATCACTTTATATCAACATTCTATGTGCATTCAGCTGGGCTGCTATATTGATTGCATGGATCTTTTAACTGATTCTATTTTAATAGAGGTTGTTTTACCCAATTTATATACCTTGTTTATGTAATGTTATTGTTTTCATGTCGTTGTATTTTATTTTATGTATTAAGTATTTTATGTATGGCCTATCTGTGTGCTATATTGTGAGCCACCCTGAGTCCCTATGGGAGATGGTGGCGGGGTATAAACAGACTTTCAGAGTTGAATTACAATAAAGCTCAATCTGGGAAAGAATGATATTCTACTCTTGGTGATTGTCCTGTAGTTGTGTGTGCTTACATACAACAGGCAAGGGAACAGCTGCCTCCAGAATCACTTCCTGAGCATCTGTGAAGAGCAATACAGAAAGGGCGGGGGGGGGGGGGGAGAGAAATCAGGCTAGCCTGCCATAGTAGATACAGTGATATGTTGGGGAAAAAAACCATATAAATTTAGCCAAAAGGAAGTCAGAAGAAAAATAGAGGCTAAAGAAAGTTAAAGAAAAATATCATCCCAAGTAGTTTCTAGAAGATTCAAAATGTTTTTTCTATTCATGATGAAAGGTTTACCTGACCTGTTTCATACCACTGATTCATAGTATTTTTGATTGATTTTGAATTAAAAGTTTGTTGAAATGTGAATTGCTCTGTTTTTTTGTGTTGTAGAATCATATCTCTTTTCTTTCTGTGCTATTGCTACATCTGGTATGAAATTCTCTGTTAAAGAAGTAAAGCCCAAGAATGCATCTACTTTGTTCACTGATATGTACCTGTACTTTTATAAAATGAAGACATTTATACAACAATTGAGAATCTGAAATGTTAGATCATAGTGAAAAAAGAACCGTGGACATGAATGCAAGTTTCACTCATTCTAGACTAGAGGGTCCACTCCAGTGATAACCCTGGATCTGGATCTGAAATACACTGTTTTACCCTAATCCTGTGACACAAAGTGATAACAGTTTTAAAAACTTTGAAAGAATTGCCCTGTGGTTATTCAGTCATCACCCCAAAAAATCAAAGAGCTGTGACAAAAAAAACCATTTCTCAGGATTCAGTGTTGTGCACTGAAGTAGCAATGTCCAGCATATACATGATGGCCATTTTTGGGACATTTTATATTCTCCTCCTTATGAAAAAAACAGCATGAGGATATATAATAAAGAAAAAAGAAATTAGTACAGTACTTCTAAGCAAATAGGTGTTTGTCTTCCCATGTAATAAGAGCATATTCACAATCTCAGTAGATTAGTCGTCGTCATCATCATCATCATCATAAAACTTCATTTCTCCAGCCCTTCTTTAGCGTTTTTTCTAATCAATACAATTGATTCCTTTTTTAGGCAGACTAATATACATCTGGGACCTCCATGCTCAAGGGACATAAAGAGGAAACGAAAACCAGTAATGGCAACAGCCTCTCTTTCCAGTCCAACCTCAGGTAATTTGATTTAATCACAGTATAATGAGTTTATGTGCTACAACTTTTTGTTTGAGAAGATCGAAAATACCCTGAAGGTAGGTATCTGATGGCAGAACTTGCAAAGCTAAAATACCAGTCAGTATTGGAAGCAGAAATTCAAGTTATTTCTGCTTTTGGTGGAGAGAAGATAATAAATTGAAAGCCAGCAAGGCCCCTGATAGTGTGGTGTCTGTTTTTTGGTTTCCATCATAACCCTTCTCCTTGACTTCAGTGGCTGGCAGGTGTAGAATCGTTTTGCAAAATGCTGCCTTCCTTGACATAGAATTTGGTTTGCCTTAGTACTGTGTTTGTGTAAATATGTTTGAATACAGAATTTTGCCCAGACCAGCCACCAGACATGGGCCTCTTTAGAACGTATTTTTCAAGGAAATATGAGCTGGGTTTTGGCTTTCTTTTTGTGTCAGTCTTAGGTACTTTAGGGAATAAAAAGTCCTTTAGGCAAAGAGCATCTTGCTCGTTCAGGGGAATTATATTGTGCCTTGAGGGCAAAGAGGACTTGCTTGTTCTCTGGGTGCATTTTCTTCTATAGCGGCAAAGTGTGACTTTCCTGGTTATAAAAGGAACAATTCACGACAATTTAAATTGTACCAGTATAGAAGAAAAGCATTTTAACACAGATATCTTATGTCGATCTTTCCAAATGTTTGGAAGAGAGGGAGATAGCATTTGGTTCACTAATAAGGAAGATATGAGTAGCATGAAGACAAAAAGGTTCCAAAGAACCAGATTCTGGGAGGCATGGCAGCATCAGTGCTACATTGCCAATCTTAACATTTCTCTCCTGAAGGTTCCTGGCACAATCTCACATGCCTATCTGTGCTCAGTAACCACATTTTTAGGGGATCTTCAACATTGCTGCCACCTAATAAATCACAATAGAACTATTTTATTTATTTATTTACCACATTTGGACATTCTCCACATTCTCAAGCCCAAAGGGGACTCAGAGTGGCATTACAAAGGCAACAATTCAATGCCACATATACATATTGATAAATAAAAAGTTGCATTAAAATTAGAATAATTAAAACATCAAACAGTAAAACATCAATTCAAATCACAAAATCCAAATGATACTCGAGGGCCCGTCCAAGTTGTAATTTTGCCATTTTATAGTCTCTTATTGCACTACTCCAATTTACTGACAAAAGCTTGCTCCCAAGGCCATGTTTTTAGTTTTTCCTGAAGGTCAGGAGGGAGGGGACCCATCTAATGTCACTGGGGCAGGAGTTTCGTAGACGAGGGGAACCAGTTAGAAGGCCCTCTCTCTCGTCCCCACCAGTTGCGCTTGCGAGGGGAGTGGGACCGAGAGCACAGCCTCCCCCGACAATCTTGGCCTCCGAGGTGGATCATAGAGGGAGATACGTTTGGATAGGTAAGCAGGGCTGGAATCGTTTAGGACTTTATAGGCTAAAGCCAGTGCTTTGAATTGTGCTCAGTAGCAGACTGGCAGACAGTGGAGCTGACACAATAGGAAGGTTGTATGCTCCCTGTACACTCCTTGTAAAACTATAACTGTTCCTTGCATTTCCATTTCTTTGTATGGAATCCAATGAACTGCTTGTATTGCTATGGGCTTTGAAACCAGCCAAAGCATTTCGCCCCACTTCAGTGTAGTGAGACCACATTTTCCCTTACCGGTGTCTGGGGATGTGATAGTTTTCACGTCACGCTGACCCGAACCCAAATAAAAAGCCAAAGACATTTCCCCAAGCAAGCAGGCAAACAGAGGTCTCCTTTGGGCCTTATGTTCCTCTCCAGCCTTCCAGAGTTGCCCACATGTTCTATATGCATGGGGCACACACATGAACAGTAAAAATTATAGCATTTTGTATATCTAATTCAGTCTCTGAAGACTCCCCCCCCCCCCCCCATTAAACACAATGTATAGGATGCCTCACTGACCTGAACACTACAACCAAGTGTCAATGAGTGTTGCCAGATCAGAAGCAGGTAGTACAAAAATGTACCTGAAAACTTAAAGATGAAGCTGCTTTGGATTCCGAACCTGTACATTTTTCAAAGCTAGAAACCTGCTTTCTGTTTTTTCAAAAAAACGAGTGAGAGAGACAGAGGGATACAGAAAAAGTAGAAGGAAGAAAGCATTTACATTTGCTATTTTCTTAGAGCAAAATAGTTTTTATTTAAATTTTGTGTGGTGCATGGTACATGTACATCACTGGTCACTGAACTTTCTTTCATCCTCCCATCAGCATGTTTTTGGTCATCAGTGACTTAGGTATTTCCTAACTGACTACTTTATGAACTTCAATTTGCTTTCATGGTAGATTTAACTCCATGTGACAGATTTTTGTGTCTTCAGTGAAATATTGGAGTGAATCAGAATTCAGGCCAGGCCTTGCGATTAGAGAATTTATATAAGCGAGGATGTCTCTAGCGGATGATACTAGATCTCTGGTTGAGCCCTGTTGTTCTCATTGCACTTGTTGACCAGGTCCTGCTTCAGTGAGCACCTTCTATGCAACCTGAGTGCCCCACAGAGGTGAAGGACACAGCCTGAGCTGGCTCCATCAGTCAGCAGAACAAATGGGCTTGCTCTGCCTAACATCGGGCCATCTCGGATTCCACCTCTTTTATAGAGATGAGTGATGAAGAGAGGCTCGTTCCGCTTTGCCGCTGTATTAATACACATCAGGGGCCAGCTCCCGGCACTAAATCACACTCCTGCATACATCTGTTATCGGACTCCTCACCAACGTGATGAACAAGACTGCAGATAGAGGCTTTCTCATGTCATTCTTTATAGGATTTTCCTAAAAGAATAAATAGCTCAAATCTCTGCCAACACTCTCCCCTGTCATTGTGATGAATTTAGCTTCTTTCTTAAACATGCAGCAACAAATCTTCTTCTGTCGTGAACCCCTCCCCTCCCCACCTACAGAAAGTTTTGTGGAATTTGACTGAATTTTAGATGATAACAGGTATGCATTCTTGCATTCTGTGGTTGAAACTGAAGCAGCCATCCAGAGTTCTTATTTAAGAAGCCCAATGAGATGTTTAAAAGTACATGTGCAAGATGATGACCCCTTGCTATGGAAAACTCTGAACTGCCACTCTTTGGCTCTTTACTAGCAGTTCACACACGAGCCATTTGACCACTTACGGCAAATGTGCTTGGACTCATGCAGAGGTCTTGTCTTTGTGAACTATTATCTATACAATAGCTGGAGACATTGGGATGACTCCATATACATTACTGCCATGGAGACATTGCCTCACATTTTAATCAATTAACATCATGTGCAGGATTCAAAGCACTACAAGAATCAAGGCAACATAGGTGAATGTTTCCAGTTGAGTCTTCTTGCATTCCTATATGTTTCTGAAACACATGACTGAGAGAGCTATGTGAATGGGTAGAATCTCCATCTGTAAGCTTGAGTAGGAAGAATTGGAAAAAAAGTAGTCAAGGCCCAAAATATCCATGAATAAGAAAATATAAAGAATCTGATTCTGGAGTAGGCTTAAAATACACCTATCCCCTCCATCTCCTTGAAAATCAAGGAAAATTTTCATGAGAACCACCACACCTCTCAATGTTCCTCCAGCAACAGCAAGAAGGGGGAAAGGCAATATTAGTTGAAATCACTCTAGAGTTTGATAGTTTGCTGCTAGAACTCTAGAAGCAAAATTTATTATTTACCATATTTGTATCCCTCCTTTCTCACTCTGGAGGGGACTCAAGGCGACCTTACAAAACACAGCAATTTGATGCCAAACATACAAGTGTCAAATAAACAATTACAATGAAAAACCAATTTAAAAACATGAATTATTAAAACATCAATTAAATTAAAGCATCAATTAAAATAATGCCATCCAAAACATAAGCTAGGGCTGTTCCCTTTAATCAATCACATTGATTCTTGATCACTTATTGCATTGTGTCAAAAGCTTGGTCCCACAACCATGTTTTAAGTTCTTTCCCCCCTGAAGGTTAGGAGAGAAGGGGCTAATCTAGCTTCATTGGGGAGGGAGTTCCTCAGACGAGGGGCCACCCTGTCTCTCATTCCCACCAGTCATGCCTGTGAAGGAGGTGGCAATTCAGGCAATTCCAACCTGGCAAAATCGCAGTACACAGAAGAATCCCCCGCCTTGTGTGACTGTGAAGCAGAACAAACAACTCAGCACATGTATGCTTGCCTACAATGCCCTGCCTCATTCGCAGAGGAAGAATTGTTTAAAGCCATCGCTGTTGCCTGTTTTTGGTCTAAAACTATCTAGCAGCTTGCGGTCCCTTTATTTTATCAGTTTTAGATAAACTGTTTTATCAGTTTTAGATAGCTATTTTATGCAATGCTTTTGACATTAAATAAATAAATTTAGAACTGATTGATTAGCACACAGTATCCTACAATGAAATTGATGTGGTCAGACGACTTTTACAATTTACACAGTTAGGAAAAGTAACCATTGCTGGTAGGGCTTTCTAGTATTGAGATTTTCAAATGTTCTAGAGTTTGATAGACAGTGATTTCAACTAGTATTGGCTTTTCCCTTCTTTGAACTCTGCAGTCAGGGTAAAAAGGAGATGTTGTTAATGATGTCCATGTGCTTGTGCTGTGGTTGACTGAACAGAGCTGTCCCAGCAACATACTGGATAAGAAGAAAGGCATCTGTCAGCAGAAAGGGTAATTTCCTGGATATCATTTCAAAATGAAGCAGATGAAAGAAGCAGTGCTTTGGAGTCATCTTGCTATCCCTGTTTTTTAGGAGATCCATAAACTGGGAGGAAAGTACGTGACTGAAACCTGGAATAACACTGGGGAGGATTAGTAGTATGTCCATTTTGATATGCAAAATCATAATTATGTACCCTCTTTTGACATGGCTTTGTTGTCTTTCTCTTTTCCTGCCGGGGTGTTCCAGCTGCTTTATCCATCCACAGAGATGCATCAGAAACTGGCCCGCCAGCATCACACTCTCAGAGGCACCAGAACTGACCGGATGTGCAGAATCCATTCACCAGGGAGAAGCCCCATCGGCTCCTACCTGAGGCAGCTGTTTTTTTAAAAAATGCCCCAGATATGATCCTTGACTGCATCAGAGGGAGGCAGCTCTTTCTCTTAACAGCTTGTGGGCCTTTTGATATGTTGGACTGCAGACTGTCAGAATGTTCATCAAACATCTTGGCTGGAAATAACTATCTCTCTCGTGGTAGCATGTGATCCATTTTATTCCACACTTCCCACGATTTGTGTCTATAACTCCATGTAAAATTGTATAATTGTTGCTGGGGTTTCCATACTTACTAATGTTTCTGCTGTTGCTGTACAAGTAAGTATCTGTTATGCACTCTCATTTTCAGACCCAGCAGCTGCTGCCTGTGCGTGTGCAAATGTTATTGGCTATTGCAAATGCCCGTCTTTGTTGTAAACCTCTTTATTCCTCAGACATATCAGATGTTGTAGAGTCATGTGTTTAACAGGAGGAGTTCTAATTGCAGTATATATTGAGAGGCAGAACTGCTGTCTGTGGCAAGAGTAACTGCTGAAAACAGTCTAGAAGGCATCCCTCATTACAGGGGAGAATAGCAAAGGGTACGCTTTATATGAACTAGGTACCTTGACTATTATATTAGGAATACTCCCAGAGGCTACTTGTTTGTCAGCTTTTTGAGCAGATATATTCCCTTCCAGGCTGTTCTTTATGTAGTATTATCCTTTCACGTTTTTCCTCTTGTACTACTGCTGTAACCTGATAGTGGTCCTAAATTAAGGCTTCTTTTCTATCCGCCTATCTTTTCCTGTGTCCACAAGCCAGTAGAACCATACATTAGCAGAGTAAATATGTCTTTTCAGGAGGCTTTGCAGTATATAATCCTGAATGCAAATAACAATGAAATGGGCTACTAGCTAAAAGCGATTTTGTTTTGAAAGCTGCTGTAAAAATCCAGCCAAGACATTTACCTAGGTCCTATGTTGCCATTCTCACAGTTTGTGTTTATATATATATATGTATATATAATATGTCATTTCAGGGTGGACTTTATGCAGGTGGCATCCACTTATTCTAGGACCCATAGACCTTCTTGGGTCTGTGGGCATATCTGGATTTTTACGTGTTTTAGGGCCATGTTCTATAAGCCAGAGAAAGTGACAGTTTTGATCAAGAGCAAAAACTCAAAGGATCCATTCCAATTCTATTCTCTTTCCCACATCTGGCCAGCTTTGTCCATTGGCGTCAAAATGCCTGTGATTGCCCAAACTTACTGTTGCATGCAAACAATGTAAAAATCTCCTTTCTTAGTAAATAGTAATAGCTTTATATCCCTCCCCCATCTCCCTAAAGCAGTGGTTCTCATCCTGTGGGTCCCCAGATGTTTTGGCCTTCAGTTCCCAGAAATCCTAACAGCTGGTAAGCTAGCTGGAATATCTGGGAGTTGTAGGCCAAAACACCTGGGGACCCACTGGTTGAGAACCACTGCCGTAAAGGGACTCGGGTCGGCTTACAAGGCAACAATAGTGCAACACAGAGCATATAAAATACAACAAAAAGTAAATACTTTCTGTGTATTTTTCAAATTTCATTATTAATGTCAAAATATGTAGGATTTGTGCTACTTTAGAACAGAATAAAAAAACCCCAATATAACAGAAAATAACAGCATATAATGATTGACATAAAATACATCAATCAAAATGAAATAACCCATAAAAGCACAACAATGAATTATAAGAAAAAGCGAGCTGTACAAACCAAGGTTAGCATCTCAGGCCCAAAACAGATTAAAAATACCAGCATTAAAAGGTCAGGGTAAAACTTCATTCTATTTAGATGATGCATTAGCCATTATCAAAGGCAACTATTATCAATAGCCATGTCTTCAGCTGCCTCCAAAAGGGTTGAATTGTGGGGGCTTGCCTGATCTCCCTGGGGAGGGTGTTCCAAAGCCAGGGGGCCACAACTGAGGAGGCCCTCTCTCTCCTCCCCACCAACCATGCAGATCTTGGAGCCCATGCAGGGTTCAGAGGTGGGGTGGGGGTGGGGAAATGCAGTCACGTAGATAGGCTGGACCCAAACCATGTAGGGCTTTGTTGGTAATAACCTGCACTTTGAATTGGGACCTTATCAATGTGTATAGAGAAAGATATACATTCTGTTCAGTGTTCTCCCCTTCTCTGTGTGGAATGGTGCGTTTTCCCTACAACCTTTTCCTTCTCATTCTTCAATATATGTGAGCAGGTTTGCAAAATAGTTCAAGTTCCTAGGTATCAGCATCATATTTTGGAAGCCTGGAAAACTGTTCACTCATTTTATATTTCTAATGCAACTAGTAATGCTTTTAAAAACAAATTACTTCATTTGAAGCTTCCCTTGACATTTCATTTTCACAATATGTACCTGGGCGTCTGTTCAGAATTACATCTTCAATTGGATCCAATTCTCCGAGGGGCACTTTACAGTACAAGGCCAGAGTGCATGGAATCACAACTTGCTTTTGTGCATCTGGAATCTAGTCATTGGAAGCAAATAGGTGCTGCTTAGATATAGACAAGTGGTTTGTATGTTTCATCTGCTTGTATAATGCTTTGATCTCTTTGCCTTAACTCATGACAATTATATGTGTATGTGATGGGCATAAGAAACTGTATTAACCGTATACAATAATGTTTAAATGGTAACCTTGGACAGCATTACCCATGCAGTGATATGGGTCTATTAGAGCAACTCATACATGCCTTACTGCTACAGTATTGTTGGTGATCCTATTCCTGTTTCAGAATGCCAATTATGTATTCCAAGCACAGCTCAGATCTTTGTATGTTGACTTCTCCTGTGCTCTTAGCATTTCTTAAAATTGCCTGGGTAAGAAAATTTGTTTTTAATCCGCTATAAAGTATATAAAAGCCAAGGGTTTGATTGAATGATTGGTGAAGATTTTAAGGACCCTGAAAAGAGCCACCATCACAACTCTGTTGCTTTCAGTGAGTGTGCACCACTGATTTTACTACCCCAGTCGGCTTATATTGCATTTTGGGCAATGGCCTGTGTCCTGAAGATTTTATTAAGCTTTTCCTTTACAAAAAGAAAAGAAAAAGTATTTCCAGAATACAGAGCAGATAAATGTCGAACTATTGCAATGAGTTTTATATCAAATACTCTATTAACCGAGCTTGGTAAAGTGGTAGTGGATTTAGTTTCACTTGTTGCGTATTTTGTTTGCAGTTTTCTCAGATCGTTGAATCAGGTTGTGTATCCCTTATCTGGAATTCCAAAATTTTGTGAACAACATATATGTACCTGTATTGTACTTGTGTGGCTAAAGGAAGATGTGACAGGAAAGAATCATAAGGATCTGTGAAATGATGGGAATCCATACCTCCATACCATAGCCTTGTCTTTCTTTCGAGCTGAACTAGTGAGCAGAAGTGTTGCAGCCGCTGCCTCAGTTGCTTGATGGTATTCATAAAGAGGCCCAAACTTGCTAAATGTATAACATCAGTGTAATGTAAAATACTTTTTGATATGCACAACCATTACTGTACCTAAAAAATCAGAGGTGTTGTTTAGCATGACACTTGTGTAACTTGGACTTTGTGAATCTTGCAAAGAGTAAATTCGCACTCTAAAGCAGTGGTTCTCAACTAGTGGGTCCCCAGATGTTTTGGCCTACAACTCCCAGAAATCCCAGCCAGTTTACCAACTGTTATGATTTCTGGGAGTTTCAGACCAAAACATCTGGGGACCCACAGGTTAAGAACCACTGCTCTAAAGGAATATACATTCTTTTAGTAGAATAGCCACAATTCTGTGCCTGGAATACATGAAGTCAGTAGTGAAAACTTCAGATTTGTTAAATTCTGACTCGGGATAAAAGGCACTGGGGATGGTAGGCAACATAGAAAGAACTAAAATAATAGAGGTGCAACCATTGTTTGAATAGCACTTGCAACAATTGCCAAATTATTCAAAAATACTTGTGATCTCACAGTTGTGGAACCCACAGGACCATGTATATAAATGGAAATGTGATAAACTTGTGTGGACTTCAGTTTTTTTAAAAAAAATCCTGCACACTGTCTCTGTTCATACATTATGCTCTTCAGTTCTCCAAACCATGATTTGGAAAATTCATCTATATGTAGTTAAGTGTTCCATTTTCTTTTATTTTAACCAAGTGTTTTGATGCACACACAAAATCCCTCTGAACTCTGCCAAGCCTGCTTGCTTATATTGTGTCAAAAAGTAAATCTATTTTATGTGATACTTCATTAGCCCAGTTCATTGGGCTACCACAGTCCCAATTCTAACAGTAAACAATTAAGTGAGCAGCCCCCATCTCATCAACACAGGAATCTAGCTGTCTCACTGAGGCGGTACCAATTGATCTCAAATTTTCATTTTTCGAACTGCTAGGTTGGCAGAAGCTAGGGCTAACAGCTGGAGTTCATCCCGCTCCCCAGATTCAAACAGCCAACCTTTTGGTCAGCAAGTTCAGCAGCTCCGTGGTTTAACCTGCTGCACCACAAGGGGGCCCACTTCTTGCTAGATTAGAACTTTTGCCATATTTCCATATTTGTGGTTCACTTTTAGCAGACTCGCTGTTTTGCAGGTTTTTTTGAAAATATTAACAAAAATATAAAATATTTATGCCCAGCAGAGGCCAGGGACACCGTAAGTGCGGTGGCCTGAGGCGCAGTGGGGAAGGCCTGCCTTCCTCGCCTGCTGCTGCCTGCATGGCTCCAGAGGCTCCGCCAGGGTCTGCGGAGGCCAGGGAGGCAGGCAGGTGCCTTTGGGAGGCGGATAAGGATGCACAGGTAATAAAGTGTATAAATATTAAAATTATATATGGCATCCCTACTTCATGGATTTTCACTTTTTGTGGGTGGTCCTGGAACGGAACCCCCACAATAAGTGAGGGAACACTGTAAATAAAATAATCATATACATTAAAAACCATAAAGTTAAAAAACATCTAGAAGTAAAACCAATTGTTAAAAAAAATCATAGTTCAGGAGCCATTCCGGTTGTAATTGCACTTATTCTGTATCCACTTATTGCACTAAATTTATTGTCCGAAGGCTTGGTCCCACAGCCATGTTTTTAATTTCTTTCTTAAGGTAAGGAGGGAGGGAGCTGATCTGATTTCGCTGGGGAGGGAGTTCCATAGCTGAAGGGTCACCACTGAGAAGGCCCTGTCTCTCACCCCCACAAATTGCGCCTGCAAAGGAGGTGGAACCGAGAGCAGGGCTTCCCCAGAAGATCTTTAGAATGCTTTTAAAGATGGGAAGCAGAGTGAGTCTCTACAATGAAAACAACAGCTATTTCCGACCTCTAGGTTTATGGACAACATTAATTGAATCCCAGTTGCTGCGAGAGAGCTATTGGCTTCATGCCCTATTCATAGATTCCCCAATTTGATCTTGCAAGGCTCTACCTAGATTTTTGTTTCTTGCTTTTTCTTTTTTCTTGCTTTTTGTCACTTCATCTCTTGATTTGGCTAGTTTCCTGCAAAGTGGGTGACCAGTGGATCTACTTTATAAGATTTCAATATAATTTTGAGCATCAGACTGACTCTTGAAGTGGCTTTTTACAACTGACATGGATAGCCTGTTCAAAACTGCACGTGTTGAGCAACTTGTCCTCACATTTTGTCCTTCATCTTTTTTCATATAAATTGAACTATAGTGCCAAAAAGCCTCATGATTTGCCTGTAGCACGGCCAAGCTTTGTGGGTCTGATCTGTTTTGTTCACCAATGTCTATATGTAGTTTTTCCACAGGCACATTACAGTTGGGAGATCCCCACAGCTGTAGGAGCATTTCAATTTCATAGGCAATGAGGTTAATGTAAGTGCTTGCACCAGTAGGATTCCCACAACACTGGTAAAATATGTGGCTGTCCTGACTTCACATTGCACATTGGGAACTTAAATTATGGAATGCTCATTCATCTCCCCTCCCCCCAAAAAACCCCCTCCTTCCATGTGGAAAGGTAGTAGTAAGTGTTGGAGAGTATAGACTGAGATCCTTAGACTCGCACATACAGTGTGGTCTGTGAACCATAGCTAGAAACTAGGGGTCTGTGTTAAAGATTACACTTCTTCACTTTGAAATTCTTAGACTAACCAGGTCAACTCATGGCCAAAATTGCGTGATAGCTTTGTAACTGGCAACCATTCTGACCTGGGACATTTCTTATGTTTGAACATTGAGAAATCCCTCGGCCAGTGCTGTAATATAGCAGGCACTTCTGCTGAAGTTTTACTCATGGGAAACAGTGCTAGGCTTCCTGTTTCTTCACTGAAGTCATTTCTAGGTAAATCTGATGCCTGGCAAGTCTTTGATTCTCATGGCCTTTGCAAGTTCCCTTTGGGGCAAGTTAGACATGCTTGTGTTGTGATTCTGGAATTTTATTTTAGAATATACCTTTTCGATAGCAACTTGCTGAGCATGTTAAGTAAAGATTTTCTGCTAACCATGGCACGTTTTTATTTTATTTGATGGTGACCTCTTGTTTTGGTAATCATAAATATGGGCATGGTGACATATCTTGGAATCATAGAGTTCGAGGAGATCTCGTGGGCCATCCAGTCTAACCCCCTGCTAAGAAGGACGGAAATTGCATTCAGAGCACCCCCCCCTTTTTTTTTTGCTGCCGCATGACATTGTTCGCTCAGGTGTTATTTGTTATCCACAAGGACTCCAAGATCTTTTTCGCACGTACTGCAATTGAGCCATTATGTATATGCATTTCATTTTTTCTGCCTAAGTGGAGTATCTTGCATTAGTCCCTGTTGAACTTTATTTTGTTAGTTTTGACCCATCTCTCTAATCTGTCAAGATCATTTTGAATTCTGCTCCTGTCTTGGAGAATTGGCTATCCCTCCCAATTTGATGTCATCTGCAAACTTGATGATCATGCCTTCTAACCCTTCATCTAAGTCAGGGGTCCTCAAACTTTTTAAGCAGAGGGCCAGGTCACAGTCCCTCAAACTGTTGGAGGGCCGGATTACAATTTGAAAAAAAACATGAATGAATTCCTATGCACACTGCACATATCCTATTTGAGTGCAAAGAACACTTAAAAACAATACAATATTTAAAATGAAGATCAATTTTAAGAAATATAATCTTACTAGCTGTGCCCTGCCACGCGTTGCTGTGGCCTATAGTAAAACTTATCAAAGTTGAGGTAGATATCTGGACTATTATGAAAGAGAGGTACCTACCTATTCCTTCCCCCTTTTCCTCCCCCTTTCTCTCCTTTCTTCCTTCTCTACCTCTTTCTTTCCTTCTTTCACTACTTGGTTTCATCCTTCTCTCTTTCCTTCATTCCCTCTCCCTTTCTTCCTTTGATGAGATAGGATTGTTGTTTTTGTTGGATGCTTTCAAGTCATTTCAGACTTGACCCTGAGCGAGGGCCGGGTAAATGAACTTGGAGGGCCATATCCATCCCCGGGCCTTAGTTTGAAGACCCCTGATCTAAGTAATTAATAAAGATGTTGAACAGGACCGGGCCCAGGACGGTACCCTGCGGTACTCTGCTCGTCACTTCTTTCCAGGATGAAGAGGAAGATCCTCTAATGCAGCTGTTTGGCACTACATTATCTGATATGGACAAACAAGTCATGATAGAAACTTTCATAGTCTGTGCATAGCATTTGTCCACATGCCTGATCCAATAGAAAATTCTGAATTTGAAGCACTTCCATGGTTTGGTTGTTGCTAAAAGAATGCTTGCTCCTGTTTTTTTTTATTCTAGCCTTCAGTATTCAGATATTCTAGTTTCCCCAGAATTTTATCAGTTTCTTATGAGACTGGAGAGCTGTTTTGAGCGTGTTTTCTAGAAACGTATGTCAAACCAGTTCAAGACACAGTTTGCCACTTCTAACGTCATGGGGAGCTAGTCTGATAAAGCACATTGTTTTTGGATTAAGATGTAAGGAAGAAAGGAGTGTGGTGGCACATGGCTCATTACGTCTGAATTGGAAATTCATGTGATTGAAGATTTCTTTGCATCATGCATTCTAAAAATGAAGAACACTGGCATTTTTCCCAGAATGGTATCTATTAAGCAGCGGAGTGCTTGATGTTATCTGGCCTAGACATTATAAAAGACAAGGGGGTTTATTTAGGTCCTGCCTCTTGGCACTAATCTAGCATAGGTAATTGAAGATTGGCTCACGGTATCCTTCTTAAGATTAAATTTCTCTTATCTTGGAGCTTGAAAGGTTAAGCCTTTGCCAACCTGATGCCCTCCAGATGTGTTGGAGTACGACTGCCATCACCCTTTCTGCAACCTACTCTACACTTCTGCAACTTTCAACTGAAAGTGAATATTCTGCATCAGACATAGATCTAACCAGTAAGACACCAATACGATTCCAGCCTTGATATTTGGTCAATCCAGGAGATATGAAATATTACAAATAAGCTGCTTAGAGCTGGAGATTTTAAGCAGTGTTCAGTGATTTTATTTAAAAGTACAGTAACCACAAAATGCAATATTTACTCTGAAATGCATCCTAAATTGTTGAACTACATAAGGGAGGCTTGAAAAAGAAGAGATGCTTTCACCATGTGTCCAAAACTATAGGTTGTTACAGTAAGTTGGATTCTTAGAAAAGGATATTCCACATAACTGGTGCTACCACACTACCACCCTGTTCTGAGAAATAGCTGATGCTACTAGAAGGTCCTCTCCAGGTGCTTTGAGGATCACAGAGCATGGACCACTTTAGACAAGGTATTTCCACCCAAGGAATACCAGGCATTTTAGGATATATTTCAAAGGAAGGAACTGGCAAAACCACCTTGCGTATTTCTTGCCTATAAAAACCCTATGAAATTATAGAATTACCATGTCAATAGGTGACTTGAAGGCAAACATACGCACAGCACTTCAAACTATCAAAAGACATTGCCCCTGAAATCATAAGTATATTTAATTACAAAGATAAAGCCAAAAGAATGTCTAAGATGTTAACTGCCATATATACTTGAGTATAAGCCGACCCAAATATAAGCTGAGGCA